CCCAAGTACAAAACAGACTTTACATCAAAGACATAGCAAAATTTATGGAATGCAGCAATAGCAGTTCTAAGAGGGAAGTTCATAATGATAAATGCCTACCTTAAGAAACAAGAAAAGTCTCAAATAAACAACCTAACTCTACACCTCCAGGAACTAGAAAAAAGAACAAAAGAAGCCCAAAGTCAGGGGGAGGAAAGAGCACAGTCATACACCACTTAACGACAGGGACACATTCTGAGAAGTGTGTCATTGGGCAATCTGTCATTGTGTGAACATCACAGATGCACTTACACAAAGCTGGATGGTATCGCCTACTGCACACTATATGGTACTAATCTTGTGGGACCACCATCGTATGTGCGGTCCACAGTTGGTGAAACGTGTCGTTATGCGGGCATGACTGTAACAAAGATTAGAGAAGAAATAAATGAAATAGAGACTAAAAAGACAACAGAGAAGATCAATGAAAATAAGAGCTGGTTCTTTGAAAAGATAAACAAAATCGACAAACCTTTAGCTAGACTCACCAAGAAAATAAAGGACTTAGATAAAATTAGACATGAAAGAAGAGATATTACAACTGATAGAACAGAAATACAAAGGGTCATAAGAGACTACTCTGAACAATTCTATGCCAACAAATTGGCCAACCTAGAAGAAATGAATAAATTCCTAGAAATGTACAGCCTTCCAAGACTGAATCACAAAGAAACAGAAAACGTGAACACAATGATTCCTAGTAAGGAGATTGAATCAGTAATCCGAAACCTCCCAACAAACAAAGTCCAGGACCAGGTGGCTTTACTGTAAATTCTACCAAACATTCAAGGAAAAATTAATACCAATCCTTCTCAAACTCTTCCAAAAAAACAAAGAGGAAGGAGCTCTTCCAAACTCATTTTACAAGGCCAGCATTACACTGACACCAAAACCAGACAATGACACCACAAGAAAAGAAGATTACAGGCCAATATCCCTCCACAAAATATTAGCAAACCAAATTCAACAATACATTAAAAGGATCATACACCATGATCAAGTGGGATTTATTCCAGGAAAGCAAGGTTGGTTTAACATCTCCAAATCAATCAAGGTGATACACCACATTAACAAATGACAAAAATCACATGATCATCTCGATAGATAAAGAAAAAGGATTTGACAAAATTCAACATCCATTTATGATAAAAACTCTCAACAAAGCAGATATACAGGGAACAAACCTCAACATAATAACACCCACATATGACAAACCCACAGCTAACATCATACTCAACGGTGAGAAGCTGAAAGCTTTTCCTCTAAGATCAGGAACAAGACAAGCATGCCGACTCTTGCCACTTTTATTCAACACAGTATTGGAAGTCCCAGCCAGAGCAATTAGGCAAGAAAAGAAATAAAAGGTGTCCAACTTGGAAAGGAAGAAGTAAAACTGTCCCTCTCTGTGGATGACATGATTTTATATATAGAAAACCCTAAAGACTCCATGAAAAAAATGCTAGAACTAATAAGCAAATTCAGTAATGTTACAAAGTACAAAATCTATACACAAAAATCTGCTGTTTCTATATACTAATAATGAACTATCAGAAAGAGAAATTAAGAAAACAATCCCATTTACAATTGCACCAAAAGAATAAAATACCTAGGAATAAATTTAACCAAGGAGGTGAAAGACCTGTATACTGAAAACTACAAGACATTAAGCCTCAAGGAAAGAAATGGAAGAAAACACAAATAAATGGAAAGATATTCCATGCTCATGGACTGGAAGAATAAATATTGTTAAAATGTCCATACTGCCCAAGCAATCTACAGGTTCAATGCAATCCCTATCAAAATCCCAAGGACATTTTTTGTAGATAAAGAACAAACAATCCTACAATGTGTATGGAACCACAAAAGACCCAAACAGCCAAAGCAGTCTTGAGAAAGAAGAACAAGGCCGGAGGCATCACTCTTTCTGATTTCAAACTATATTACAAAGCTATAGTAATTAATATAGTATGCTATTGGCATAAAACAGACAAAAAGATCAATGGAACAGAATAGAGTCCAAAAATAAACCCATGCATATATGGTCAATTCATTTACAACAAAGGGGCCAAGAATATACAATGGGGAAAGGAGAGCGTTTTCACTAAATGGTGTTGGGCAAACTGGAGAGCCATATGCAAAAAAATGAAACTGGACAACTATCTTACACCATACACAAAAATCAACTCAAACCGATTAAAGAATTGAACATAAGACCTGAAACCATGAACCTTCTAGAAGAAAACATAGGGAAAAAGCTCCTTGACATAGGTCTTGGTGGTGATTTTTTTTAATTTGACACCAAAGGTAAAAGCAACAAAAGCAAAAATAAACAAGTGGGACTACATCAAACAAATAACCTGCTGCACAGCAAAGGAAACCATCAAGAAAGTGAAAAGGCAATCTACAGAATGGGAAAAAATATTTGCAACTCATATGTCTGATAAGGGGTTAATATTCAAAATATATAAAGAATTCACAGAACTCAAGAGCAAAAAAACCAAACAACCCAATTAAACCTTGGGCAGAAGATCTGAATAGACATTTTTCAGAAGACATACAGATGGCCAACAGGTACACGAAAAGATGCTCAACATCACTAATCATCAGGGAAACGCAAACCAAAATCACGAGATATCACCTCACAAATGTCAGAACGGCTAGTTTCATAAAGACAAGAAATACCAAGTGTTGGCAAGGATGTGGAGAAAAGGGAGCCCTTGTGCACTGTTGGTGGGAATGTAAATTGGTGCAGCCACTATGCAAACAGGGAGGTTCCTCAAAAAATTAAAAATAGAACTACTGTATGATCCAGCCATTCCACTTCTGGGTATCTACCCAAAGGAAACCAAAACACTAACTGGAAAAGATGTACACACTCCCATGTTCATTGCAGCATTATTTACAATAGCCAAGATACGGAAATAAGCTAAGTGTCCCTCAATGGATGAATGGATAAAGCAGCTGTGGTATAAATATACAATGGAATACTATTCAGCCATAAAAAAAAGAATGAAATCTTGCCATCTTTGACAACATGGATGAACTGGAGGGCGTTATGCTAAGAAATAAGTCAGAGAAAGACAAATACTGTATGATCTCTCTTACGTGTGGAATCTAAAAAGCAAAAAAACCAAGCTCACCGATATGGACATCAGATTGGTGGTTGCCAGCGGCGGTGGGAACAGGGGGTGGGTGAAACGGATGAAGGGGGTCAAAAGGTACAACCTTCCAGTTATAAAATACGTAAGTCATGGGGATGTAATATACAGCATGGTGACTATAGTTAATGATACCATATTGCATATTTGCAATTAGCTAAGAGAGTAGATCTTAAAAGTTGCCATCAGAAGGAAAAAAAAATTGTAAAAAACTCCAGAACAAACTGGATTTAAACTGACACGCCATAAGTCAGCATTCAGGGGGCTCAGAGAACAGACAGAATTGAAAACCTCTGCCCAGAGGCTGCCCTCACGTTCCTCACAGAGGGCAAAGGAGACCTCTAAGGTATAGGGAGGGCTTTGTAAACGGTGAGTGCGTGCACAGGAGAACAGCATGTAAAGTGCTGGGCTCTTCTCTACCCAGGGCAGTGGGGACTGCACCACATTTGGGGGGTGCAGGCAGAAGTAGGGAGCTCCTGGGGGATACTGAAGACGTTGAGGAAGCGTAACAATGTCAAGGTAAATGGAAAGCGCCTTAAGAGTTCTCCAAACCCCTAGGCACACTCATTCTCACTGGCATCTCTTCCGAGATCCTAGAAAGTCACTGCTTTTTTCTCAGGCTCACTCCGCTGGTCAGCCAACTTCTTTCTACTCAGTGGTAACCTGAGTCACGACGGCCTCTTGACCCTAACTCTGGGGGAGGGCAGCACATGAAATTAGTCTAATTTCTCTCAGTTGTGATGGTCTGTCAGCTGTTGATCTGAAAAAAGTGCTAACAAAAGCTGTTATTTATTGAGCTCTTAAAGGACTGAAATAAAGGCAATAACACTAACCAAAGTGGGTAACATTTACGGAGCGCTTCCTTGCGTTAGGCACTGTTCTAAGTGCTACAGAGCAAGGCAGGGAGAGATGGGCGATGGGATGAGCCAGAATAACGGAGAGCTCTGAAGCACAGGTTTTGGAGTCACAAAGACACGGGTTCGAAATCCAGTTCTATGCGTTATCTACCTCTTTAAGACTCGGCGCCCCAGGATCCTAGCGCAGCTGTGATGTGCACACGGATAAAGTGTGTAGAATGCCTAAGCCAGTGCCAGGCACACAGCAGCTCCTCATTTAACTGATGATAATCATAAAGATGACCATCACGTGTTCATTTTGCTTCCCTGAGGTTAGCAACACCAATACCAACCAACTTTGGCATAATATTAATACTAAACTACGCTTACCATGCGCCAGGCTCTGTTAGAAATGGTTTACACTGACTAGTTCACTGAATCCTCCAAACAAGTCCATGTAAGTACTATTTTCATGTCCATCTCCCAGATGAGAAAACTGAGGCACAGAGATACCTACTTGCCCAAGGTCTCGCAGCTGTAACTGCACTAAGAGGAATGACCGACTTTACCGAGCGCCTACTGTGCTCCAGGCTGTAAGGAGCTCGTTACCTCCGCTACATCCTCTCAAGAACCCCTTTAAAGGGTATGCCGTCACGCCCACTCTACAGATGGCGACACTGAGGCTCGGAGGGCGTTCCCACAGGCGTGAAGATTCGGACCCAGGGCCGACCCCGCACTCACCCGGCCTCCCGGATGCGACGAAGCACGACTATTTCGTTCGCCTCGGGCTCGGCCCCCGGGCCCCGGGCCGCCGCCTCCCTCCGCCTAGGCCGCCGCGCCGCAGAGCGCCTGCTCCGTGGACCTGCAGCCCGCCAGGGCTCCAGCGCCGCCGCCGCCATGACCTCTGACGTCAGCGGCGCGCGCGGCGCGCCTGGATACGTCATCGCCGTGCGCCGGCTCTCCGAGAGCTTGGGGGTGCGGCAGGCGCGGGTGCCGCGTGATCCTGGGGCGTCTCTGCCGCGCGCTTAGATACCGGGCGGGAGTCGCCGCTGTCCCGCTGCCGCCCGCGTTCGGCGGCCCGAGCCCCGGGCTGCCTGGCTACTCCCGCAGGTGGGCGTCGCGGGGACAGCGAGGGGCGGGATCCGGCCTAGAGCGCCTCTTTGCAGTCTTCCGCGCCGTGACCGGGCCGCGACGGAGCCCCCCGCCTTGCCCGCCAATTCCCAGCCCCCTGGAGCTGAGGCCGGCCCCTTCCCAGTGCCCTTGGACGGTTACCGACCGCTTCCTGGCCTTTCGAAGTCGTTAGCGACCCTGTTCCTGCCCCGCTGACCCCGTGAGGCCGCTTCCTGCATCACCGCCACCACCCCCAGGCCATTGCCGGCCACTTCTTGACCCCCCCCCCCCCCCGGTCGTCATTGTCACTTCCCAGACTGCCAGAGCCTTCTCTGGTCAGATCCCAGCACCTGCTCTACCTGAAGTCCATTACTGGCCCCTTCTGGACCTTTCAGGGATAAGAGAGTGGACCTTGGCCGTGTAGGGCCCAGTCCTCTGAGAACAAGGGATAGGGGGTTCCAGGCTACTGTCCTCGGTCCCAAGAGCTTAGATGCCCCTCCACAGGCATCCAAAGAATACCATGAGTGTGACCCTCTGGAGGCCATCCCAAGATATCTAGAGCTGAGAGAAGAGATTTTACAGGCCATCAAAGATTCAGTGGGATCCTCTCTAGGGACTTCTCTCTACCAAAGGAGTTTTAAAATTTTTGTTGTATTCCCAGGAGGATGACAGATGGTGAGCAAGTATTTGAAACCGTGTCACTGGGGACATTAAGCTTGGAGAAAGTGACAGTAGGAATACAGTTTTGAAAGGATCAAAGGGCTGCTGTGTGGAAGGATTAGACCTTATTTTGTTTTCCTGGAGAATGTTATCTAGTCTAATGTGGGGAGGTTACTGGGAGGCCACTTTTAGCTTGGTGGAAGGATGACTTTCACATTATCAACTGCTTGTCTCTGGAGGAAGTAAGCCAGAGGCAGTCCAGGCAGCTTTGGGAGAAAAGGATTAGAATAAATGATGCCAGGGTTTCCATGCCCACTGAGTTGTCTTTCCTCTTGTGGGAGGAAGCCACGGGTTAAATTCTCTTTTCATCTTTTGGAAACTTGCCCTGCTGTGGAATTCTGCATGTTCAGATTACTTTTGGGCGGTCAAGGTGATAGTTCCTTAATTTGAGTTCCATTATTACTACAACAACCGCCTTATTTGTAGAGCTGCCCTTGACACCCAGAGCTTTTTCACACTCGTTATTTAATTTTATCTTCTGTGAGACATAACTGTTCGAGAAACTAGGGGACTTAATCCGAAGTCCTGCAGCCCTCTCTTTGTTATTTTGAAATATGATATTCCAGTTTCTAGAAAGCTCTCTGGGAGTATACCATTTGCTTCACCCTGCTGGGTCACGTGCTCTCTCATGGGTTTCCGAAATAATCTATGCCTTGTGTTTATTTTATGACTAAGGCTCTGAGGTTTGAACGGGAAGCTTCAACACTTAGAAGAACCTTCAGAGTGGCTTTGAACCAGACGAGCTGGGAGTCGCTTCAGAACACCGCCTTCAGCATGCATCTCCCCCGTCGGGCGTTCCTCGCGAGGAGCTTTTTGAAGAGGTCCTTCTGCAGGGAGCTGGAGAGCTGATGCTCATGGAACCAGATGAGTGGCTTGGACTTTTCTGGTAGAATTCTCTTGCTTTCTTGTATTCTCTCACAGAGTTCTAAGAGGTGTGGAGGCGTTCATGGAACCAAAGGGCCTGCAAGGAAGGGAAGTAGCACTTTCATGCTGAATGAAACTCAGCAAGAAACGGCTGTGAGTGAAAACGCTTCAGCCTCCCTCGTCCAGAGACACTGGACTGGGGACACAGAGGAACGGTGACCGCTGGAGAGAGAGAAGTGAGACTGGAAAGGAAACCCAAATAAAGAGAATGAGGACAACTGGGAAGTAAATGGCCGCCTCCAGCTCAGCAGAGACGAAGTCAGCCTCCTGGTGAGTCGCTAGGCCTGCCTTGGCTTCCTGCCTGCCAGGTTGCTGGGTGGATGTTTGGGGTGACCTGAAAATCCCCAGCCAGATTGTGTTGATTTTTATTAAGGCAAAAAAGAGCCATTTTCCTCAGAGCAGCTGAATCAAGCGTGTGAGCTGTTTCTCTCCAGAGCTGACACGGTGTAACTCTGCAGGCCTCTTGTGGTGTCCAACGAGTCCAGCATTGCTGGTAGAATCTAGAAAAGATAGCCGTGGCCGGATCAGGCAGGCGGCTTTGATAATAATGTGGGCATGGTAGTCTTCCCTTGGGAGAGACAAGAACTGGTTGCCGTGCAGAACTACACTGTGAGAAGAGGTTTGGCCAGACCGGCTCTTGAAGGGTGTTACACAGCGTCTGCTGAAACTCACTTCCCTCCTCAACCTCAGATGGGTTGAGCCTCTTTCGTAACTTGGTCCAGCAAACATGAACCGAGGAGATGAAGTGAAAGGCATGGTTTAACTAGAATGAGCAGAATTTACTGACCAACTATATGTGTGCAAGTCAAAAAGATGGAGCAGTTCTGGAGGACACGCAGGTTTTCTTTTGTGTGCCTGGAAGAGTGGAGGTGCTTTTGCCCAGAGAACACAAGGAAAAGATAGAACGAGGCCTGGCCAACGGGTTTGTGAGCTGAGTGTGAAACATTTTTGAGGCTTTTTGATCTGGACCTAGAACTCGGGGAAGGCAGACTGTGCTAGAAACAACGTTAGTGCTTATCAGCAGGAAGATAAGGTGGGAGCCAGAGAGGGTGGTAGGGGGAGGGCGTAGAGCCAAGGGAGGAGAGTGACAGAGTGGTCGCGGCTCCTCTGGTGCTCTAGCCTGACAGGTGTGCTTTCGGAGGTTTGGAGGCAGACCCAGGTGCAGCCTCGGGCGACATTGCTTTGTGTCTTTCAGAGGTGATTACAGTCATACTGCAGAGGCGACTCCAGGAGTCTTTAGGGAGGAAGAGAGGGTTGTGGAGATTGAGAAGAGCGGTTCCTCTGTGGGGAGGAATAAGGAGTTTGAGTTATGCTTATAGGACTGGGGGGGTTTTGAAGGCAGAGGGCTTCGGGGCTCCTCTGAACTCTCACAGGCTCCTATTTTCCCCTTATAGCCTCGCTAGGCTGCCTCGAAACTGTGTGTTTCCTGCCTCCCTCTTAGCACCCGGCCCAGGGCTGGGAGCGCAGTGCATGTTGTAGGCCCTCTCTAAACCTCTGTGAAAGGAATGCCTGACTTTCTGGTAGATGGGGTGTTTCCGGAGATCCTCGTGCCCAGCGGCTGTGAGGAGCGCCTGCAAGCTGTCCCTGACTTGTCTTATCAGAGCCTTGAAGGACAGTTCACGTGTGGTTCTGCAGTTAAGGCTCCACGTCTCCGATAGGAGGCGTCGCTGTGGGCACCATCTTTCCTCAGCCGCCCCGCTGTCTTGGGGCAGATGGTCTGACGGCTGGATAGAGGCATATTTTCAGTTTGACTCGACTGCGCTTCCGAAATGGTCTTTATCTATTTGTAGCCGCTGGGCCCTCTCTGCTCCGGGCCGGGGCGCCAGCGGGCTTTCAGATACTGAGTAAGAACCTTCTTGCCTGGGGACGGGGAGTGGGGCTTTAGAGCTCCCGGGTCGCTGGATGGCTCCTTTCTCTTCTCTTGCCAGGTGGAATTATTTTTTCCTTTATGATGGTTCAAAGGTAAAGGAAGAAGGAGACCCAACAAGAGCTGGCATTTGCTATTTTTATCCTTCTCAGGTAAGCCACGCAGCGTGTCACTGTTCCGTGGGGATCCCGCGGCCTCCAAGTGGTGACTTTTCAAAGGTATAGGGTTTACATTAACACTCTTTTCTTTGCATAATCCAGGCACTTGACATTTCTACTCTCTTATTCTTAGTTGTGCTGTTTCTTGTTGTTCTGGTCTTGAACTCCCCAGGCAGCTCAGTACTTCCATCTTCTTCAGCTCTCTGTTACCATCGGGATTTTCTGTCTGCCTCCCCTTGCTCCCAGTTTTTCATCAGCTCATTAAAAGGAAACAACCAACTTTTGTTCAAACATGTACAAAAGCAGAGGGGAGAGTACAGCAAACCCTCACACACCATCGCCAGCTTCAGCAATTATCAGCGCTTTGCCAGCTTTATATCACCTATTGTAACCCTCCCCTTCTTTTTTTCTGGAGTATTTTGAAGCAAATACTAGACATTGTGTCATCTCTCCAGTATCAAGTAACATCTCTAACTTTGGAAAAGGACTTTTTTTTTAATATCACACCTAACAAAAGTTACAGTGATTAGTAACAATAATTCCTTAGTATCATCTGATACTGTCTGTATTCAGATTTTGCCTTTATTATCTTAGATGTTAGTCTATCCATCCTTTCCCTGTTCTCTCTTTCTCTCTTTCCTAATCAGGATCCAAACAAGGGCCACGTGTTCTGTTTGGTTATTTTGTGTTTTAAGTCCCTTTATTATATAACACTTCTCCCCACCCAGCCATCCTCCCCCCCACATGCCATTGAATTACTGAAGAAAGCAGGTCGTCTGTGCACTAGAAGGGTAGAACATCCCACATCCTGGATCTGGCTGATTACTTCCTCATGGCGGTGTCATTGTTTTTTTCTTTTTTTTGAGGAAAATTAGCCCTGAGCTAACTACTGCCAAATCCTCCTCCTTTTGCTGAGGAGGACTGGCCCTGAGCTAACATCCATGCCCATCTTCCTCTACTTTATATGTGGGACGCCTGCCACAGCATGGCTTGCCAAGCAGTGCCATGTCTACACCCGGGATCCGAACCAGTGAACCCCGGGCCACTGAGAAGCGGAATGTGTGCACTTAAGTGCTGTGCCACTGGGCTAGCCCCTGGTGATGTCATTTAATGTCTCCTATCCACCGTGCAGTATTGCCTTTAAATGGTGTAAGATCTAGAGCTGTGATTAGCTTCCAGTGTAGTTCTTTTAGGCAAGACTTCTCCATAGGCGGTGTGTACATTTCTGTGCGTCACATCGTGTCTGGCCGCCCCAGAGTTCAGTTAATGCTGAGATGGATTAGGAGGTCTTCGTGTTCGCTCATGTGATTGCCCTCTGACTTGGATAGCCGGGGTTAATCCAGGCTGCTCTGGCCGCTCTGCAGGGGATTTGAAAAGAGATGAAAGGCTCCTGCTGCTACCCACGCATGTGCCTGTAGTCCTAAGAACAAGAATCTAGTTGTGTGCAGTCACCTGCTGCAGTCACTGGGTGTTCTGTGACAGCTCAGTCATCCTGAGCAGGGGTCAGCAAACTTCGCAAAGGGCCAGAGAGGGAAAATTCTAGGCTTTGCCAGCCACATAAGGTCTCTGTCACATATTCTTCTTTTTTGTTGTTGTTTTGACAACCCTTAAAAAATATATAAAAACCATGCTTAGCTCATGGGCCATGTAAAAACAGGTGGCCCACTAGATCCAGCCTGCAGGCTGCCGTTGCCAGTCCCTGCTCCGGGGCACGACGCAGGAGCTCAAGAGTGTCAGCCTCCTGTCTGGAATGTGCTTCTCTCCCGTAGACCCTGCTTGACCAACAGGAGTTGCTTTGTGGACAGATTGCCGGAGTTGTCCACTGTATTTCTGACATTTCCGGTTCTCCTCCCACTCTCATTCGTCTGCGGAAACTTAAGTTCGCCGTAAAGGTTGACGGAGATTACCTTTGGGTAAGTTTCCCCGGCAGAACCAGTGCTGACAGTGTCACCTTGACCGTGAGTTATGTCTTGGGGATGAGTATTGTGATGACAAGGTTTAGAAAGTAGTGAATGCTTTCTATGGCTCTTAGGCCAAGAATCTCGTCCCCTGCTGCCATGTGCTGTATCGTCCACGAGTCTTCGGTCACTCTCTGCAGGTGCCTGTCATACTGAGTGCCCATCATAACATGTTTCTAACATAGCCTGCATTGCCAGGGGCTGGTTTCTCCTCTCCTTTGAAAGACTTTAGGCCAGCCTGCTGAAAGTCTGTCTGCTCTGTGATGCTAATTGAGTTTTTCATCTCCATCTTTTCTTTATACTCTCTATAGTTCCCTATACTCTCCACGCTTACTGGGTAAATGACCTAGAAACTCCAGGACATGGATGCACATGTGTCAGGTTTGAAAGAACCATTTAAAAAAACCCCAAAAAACCATTTCTTTACAGCTAGTAGTACCATACTCTGTAATTTTCCCATAGCTACACTTATTTTAAACTATTCCTGAGGTGAAGGGATGTTTAAGTGTGAGGAAATATATTCAACTGTGTAGGTATTATTTCCAACATTTTATTATGACAGTTTTCTAACATACCAAACAGTTGAAGGAATTTTCCAGTGACTACTCACATTCCTCCTAGATTCTACAATGAACGTTTATTTCATCATGGTTGCTTTCTCACATCTCTGTCTATTCATTCCTTTATCCTTCTGTGAATCCAGTTTCTACTTTAATGCCTTTTGAAGTTGCCCACATTAGTATACCTCTTCCCCCCGCCCCAAATACTTCATCACGCATAACATTAGAGTTCAATATTTGTTTGTGGTTCTTGTTTCCTTTTGAGGTAAAATTCACATGTGATGAAATACACGAATCTTGAGTGTACCACTTGATGCTTCCGGACAAATGATGCACCTGTGCGACACAAATCTGTGTCAAGATATGAATGTTAGCATCATTCCAGAAGGCTCCGTGTGTCCTTCCCCGGTTAATTCTACGCCCCGTCCCATTGTTTTGAATTTTTTCTGCCATAGATGACTTCTGCCTGTTCTAGACCGTCATATGAGTGAAATAATGCATGTACAATTCCTCTTTACAGCTTCTGTCACGCCCCGTAACGTTTGTGAGATTCATCCATGTTGTTGCATGTATTGGCAGTTTATGCCTTTTTATTGTTGACCAGTAGTCCGTTGTCTGAACATATCATGGTCTGTTTGTTTATTTTTTTAAGATTGGCCCTGAGCTAACATCTGTTGCCAATCTTCTTTTTCTTCTTCTTCTTCTCCCCAAAGCCCCCCAGTACATAGCTGTATATTCTGGTTGCAGGTCCTTCTGGTTGTGCTATGTGGGACGCCGCCTCAGCATGGCCTGATGAGCAGTGCTAAGCCTGCGCCCAGGATCTGAACCAGGGAAATCCTGGGTCGCAGAAGCGGAGTGCAAAAACTTAACCACTTGGCCCTGGGGCTGGCCCCTACAGTCTGTTTATTAATTTTCCTTTTTATGGACACATGAACTGTGTCCAGTTTGGGGCAGTTAGGCTCTAGGAACATTCCTCTGCAAGTCTGTTTTGTGGATGAGTTTTCATTTCTTGTGGGTAAATATGTAGGTGTGAAATTGCTGGGTCATAGGGTAAGTGTATGTTGATTTTAGAAGAAACGGCCAGACTGTTTCCCAAAGCGGTTGCACCATTTCACATTCCCACCAACAAAATATGCGAATTCCAGTTACTCCACATCCTGCTCAACACTGTTGTTGTCAGTCCATTTAATTTTAGCCATCCTGCTGGATGTGTAGTGGTTTCTCATTGTGGTTTTAATTTGCGTTTCCCTGATGACTAATGATAGTAAGCCTTTCTCATGTGCTTAGTGGCCATTGGTATATTTTCTTTCAAAAAGTGTCTGTCTGAAGCTTTTGCCCATTTTTTAAATTGGGTTTTCTTTTTTTTGTTGAGTTGTAGGAGTTCTTTATATATCTTGGATATCAGTTCTTTGTCAGATATATATTTTACGAATATTTTTTCCCAGTTTGGGGTGTGCTTATTAATTTTCTTAATGATGTCTTTTCATGAGCAGAAGTTTTAAATTTTAATGGACTTGAATTTATCAGTTGTATCTTTTATGGTTATTGCTTTCTGTATTCTGTCTAAAACCATTGCCTACCTTGCTGGAGAAGATATTCTCCAATCTTTTTGGTAAGGCTTATAGTTTTAGCTTCTAAATTTAGGTCTGTACTCCATCTTGGATTAACATTTGTGGATGGTGTGAAGTAGAGGTTAAGGGCCCTTTTTTCCTGTATGGACATGCAGTAGTCCCAACGCCATTGTTGAAGAAGCTGTCCTTTCCCTGGTGGGTTCCTTCGGCTCCTTTGTTGAAGCTCAGATGACCAGTTAAGTGTGGGTCATTCCTGGGCTCTCTGTCCTTTTCCATTGATCTTTCTGGAGATCCTCTATGAGTACTACTTATGTGTTGATTTCTGTGACTTTATAATAAGTGTTGAAATCGGAAAATGTAAGTCCTCTCGCCTTATTCTTTTCCTAGATAGCTTTGGATATTTTAGGTCCTTTGTATTTCCATTGTACAATCAATTTGTCAGTTTCTAAAGAAAAGCTGGTAGGATTGTGATTAGAATTGCGTTCAATCTGTAGATCAATTGGGGAAGAAGCGAGCACGTGCTGTGTGCCAGACTGTTGTAAATTCTTGGATTAATTACTTCAGTGAACAAGACAAAGAGCCTTGCCTCCGTGGAGCTGACATTCAGAGGGAATTTGTTTTCTGTCAGGGTTTGTGTGTTGCTTTGTTTCTGATGATGCCCTGAGGAGAGAGTCCTAGAGGTAGAGTTACTGAGTCAGAGAGTACGAACTTTGTTCAGGCTCTTCAGACACATGGCCGATGACTTTCGCCCTGAGCAAGTATTTATCCTCTGTGGAACTCGGCAGTACGCTCAGCATTTCGGACTGTAGAACGTGTGAGGATCCAGTTAGTTCCTGTTCAGAAGGACTTCTTCCAGCTGGGGAGACGAGATAGCCATTCATGAAACAGTTTGAGTCCAGTGCTTGCAGTGAAGCCCAGGTTAAACATCCAGTGTCCAAATCATACTCCTAACAAATACGAGGGGCCAGACGAGAGTTCAGCAGCGGCTAGAGTGATCAGAGCAGGCAGCAGGAGGTGCTGGACTCTGCAGTGGGCTCTGCAGGGGAGGGGACAGCCCCGGCAAATGGACAGGAAGGAGGAGGGCATGGCAGGTTGGGCGGTGTGAGTAGGTACAAAGGGCACTTGTTCTCTGTGGAGACCAGCTTGGCTGGAGTGGAGGGGGTGGGGCGGGCAGAAGATCAGTTTCGATGGGCCAGTGAATTCGAGCTGTAGAGAGCCCTGGGTGCCAGGATTCCAGACTGGACTCAGAGGAAAGGAAAATGCCTGTCTTCCTGGGTGCCCTCCCTCCAGGTGCTGGGGTGTACCGTGGAGCTCCCTGATGTCAGCTGCACGCAGTTTCTGGATCAGCTCATTGGGTTCTTTCATTTTTACAACGGTCCTGTTTCTCTGGCTTACAAGGTATGAGGGTGGTGTTGAGGAGCCTTATGCTTATGTGGGACCCCTCTAGCAAAACTGATGTTGCCAGAACACAGCACTTACTCTGGGGTCTGTTATCCTTTACAGAAATACATTGTGTCTGGTGACAAGCTCAAGGGCCCTTGGAGCCCCTCACAGATGCCTTTGTTCCCCAGGGGCACAGGTCACATTCATTCCAAACGTTTATCCCCATCTCCTCCTCCTGGATGGTCAGAAAGAGCAGGGCCTGGTTCACCACCCCCAGCAGGCGGCCCGGGTCTGTGGGGGGGGGGTTGTCAGGGGTAGGAGGGGGGGAGCACAGTGCGTGTTGGAAGCTCCACACGGGCCCCCCCGCCAGCGAGTTTCCTGTGTGAGGAATGGTTTTTGTTGGAATTTGTTGGTTTTTGTTTTGTTTAGTTGGAATCCTTGGCGAAGAGTGTGTCTCTCAGACTGTCACATGTTGACCCTGGGCTGTCTCTGTTTTAGAGCTGTTCTCGGGAAGAACTGAGCACCGAGTGGGACACCTTCATTGAACAAATTCTGAAAAACACCAGTGATCTGCATAAGATATTCAATTCCCTCTGGAACTTGGACCAAACTAAAGTAACATTCTCATCCCTCTTGCTCATTTCACGTGTAGGAATAGAGCTTCTGGGCCCTTCTCCCCCTGAAATGAACTGTATCTAGAGGAGTGAGCAGAAGGTGTCATTGCTCAGTCAGCGTGGCTGTCCACACCCGTGCTCAGATTCCAGCTGCCGCTAACAAGCTGGGTGAGCGTGGACAAGTCAGCTTGCCTCTCACAGCCTCACTTTCCTTATCCGCAGAATGGCTTCGTAATACCTGCCTCCCAGAACTGTTTTGATGACAAAATGAGACGATGCCTAAATGATACAAAGGAAATACTCACTAAAGGGTATTATTATTTTGCTAATGCCCCAAAAGCATTGAACTCAGTGATCTGAAAGTCTGCTTCTTCCTTGATTTTAATATTATATGATTTAATTATTCTCAACGTCAGAAATGCCCAGTGCCAACATTTTACAAACAAGGGAGAGAGTGGCTGGCAAGTGCTGTGTTTCTGAGCCACTCCTGTGGACACTGGCTTTCAGTGCCAGATAGGCCGCTCGTGTGGTTGGCCTGACCACCTGTGCTGCCTGTTGCTCAGTGGCCTTGGTCTGGGTGAACATCGCATCCTCATTGTCAGGGGGCCAGAGGGAGGTGTGAGGCTGTGTCTCCTTAAGAACTGACCCCCTGCGCCCTGAGCATCTCCGGAGATGAGACCCGTTCTGCACTGCCAGCCGTCCATTAGGGGTGGGCTGGGTCTCCTTGCTGGAGTTAATGGTGTCCCTTTAACAGGGATGTGGCTCCGTGACTCTGCCAAAAATGGGGAGGGTTTCCCTACTCCTGTTTGGAGGGCTTCTTGAAGTCGGCCCCAGTGTTTTACAGAATGCTGGCTGGGCTGGGCGCTGTCTTAAGGCCATGAAAGAATAAACTTCTTCATGTGGCAACAGCTCCAGAGCTTGGCTCCATTAACCCTCGGTTCTAACAGCTGATGGGTCCTCGCAGGTTCTAGCTGCCAAGTGGGAAATGCGAAGAGGCTTTTGGTTACTGCTGGCCATTCTTGACCAGGTTCAGATTTTTTTCTGGTATTTTTAGGGACTTTTAGACAACTGACTCCTTTCCAAGACTGTGTAACTGAAGTGTATTTCCCCAAGTGCAAGACCATGCTGTTTGCATCTTAGGTTAGGAAATCGAGTGCCAGGACCTGGTCAGGCACGGAGCCAGCTGGGTCACAGTGGGGCTTGTGCTTCAGAGGGAGGCTGGAGGATGGGGGGTGCATTTCACCTGGTGCCATGACCTGCATTTGAGGAGTGGGCCCGCCTCCCCGGCGCCTCCTGGTCTCAGCATTGCTAGTCAGGGTCTCCCAGTCAGCCTACTTTGTACCCTCTGAATAGCCATATGCTCATTCCCTGTGCCTTCCAGCTTCCAGAGAGGCCTCCTTGTTCCAAGAATTTGGCATTTTGTGGCATCTGCAGTTCTGGATATAGAGAAGTGGAATAGACCCGAAGTGTGACACACATCTTACTGTGTGGCACATTCTCCTCTTTCCAGGCTTTGGGTTATGCCCTGTCCATCTGTTCTGTAAAGCCTCTTCCCTTTCCTCCCTTGCTGATTGTGAGCATTTGAATTTGTGGGCTTGCTTCTTGCCCTGCACAGGTGGAGCCCCTGTTGTTGCTGAAGGCAGCTCTCATTCTGCAGACCTGCCAGCGCTCGCCTCACATCCTAGCTGGCTGCATCCTCTACCAGGGACTGTGAGTACTGCCAGACCCCCTCCTCCTCCCCAGGCTCCTGCTGCAGGACTGACCGTGCAGATATGGGTGGGGAGCTCTGTCTCTGGACAGTTCCGAGGGGGCTGGTTTGGCAAATATCGGGTAGTTTAGATTTGATTTGGGGTACATATCAGTCTGAGGAAAGCTGGGAAACTGGAAACTGTCGTGTCTAGAAAAGAGTTAGGAATATGAAGGGCAGTTTTAAAGAGATCCATATAGTTCTCAGGATGGAGCGGCTTTTATAGTTGTCAGTATAGCTAATGCTAATACAGAGCCTCCAAGGTCGCCAGCAGCCAGCCTTAGGAGTGAAGGGGCGTGGAAGCCTGCCCAGGTGTCCTCTGCTGCCTGGGCCTGATGCGCCTGCTGCGCTCAGCTCTGCAGAGCAGCATCTGGGCTGCCACCAGGCTCCCACCAGCCTATGGGCGGGGTCCGTCTGTCCCTCAGTTGGCCTCTGCGATCTCACTACACCTCTTCACTGGTTAGAGAGCCTCTTGACGAACCCGAGTGCCTGAGAGCCAGTCCGCACATCTTCTAAGGCCGCTCTCGTGGAGGGTTTGTTCTCACAGCCCAGGGGCAGGCTGGGCCATTGCTCTGTGCCCAGAGCTTTCTGCTAACCACATGACAGTGCAACTGGAGAAGCTCTCCAGGCCCCCGGGGGCTCTGGGGCCTGCAAGGCTGGGGTCCAGTCCTGGCTTGCCTTCTTCCCAGCTGTGACCTGGGCAAGTTGCTTAATCTCCCTTTTCTCTTCTGGGAAATAGGGGTGCTTGGTGGAGAATGAAATGAGATGACAGCAGTGGGGGGACCGAGCATAGTCCTTGGTTCCCAGTGGTCCTCAACACATTAGACCCCTCATTCCTTTCCCTTGTTTTCATTATGCTTCTGAGTCAGCTTGTGGTGCCTCCAGGCTCACCAGTGACATGGCATCAAAGATGGTATTTTTTTCCTTTTCTTATTTTGCATTTCTTATTTATTTTTAAATTATGCACCTAATGCATGAACACATTCTCATTGTAAAAATTGAGAAACAGCACAATTTAAAAGTTCCCCTCCACTCTCCCTCACTCCGCCCATCCCCACTGTTGGCAGTTTGATGTGCATTCTTCCTTTGTTCTCTCTGTGTGTTTTCACACACCTGTACATACACACTTTTATTGATTTTATTTTTGCTGTCTATGTAAGTAGGATCTTATGGTTCCTCAGCTTAATGTGTAGGGTCCATATTGATCCACCTCATTCTTGTGAAACTGCACATATTCTGGTGTTACGGCTGTGCCATGATTAACTTAACTCTCTTTTTGATGGACATTAAATTGTCCATTTTTTAGTGATTTTGCCATTTTCCCTGTAATGAATATTCTTTTGCATACTTCTTGGTATAAGCCAGGTCAAAGGATTTGGACATTTTCAGTTTTGGTAGGAATGGCCAGAGTGCCCTCCATAGGGGCCTTAGCAGTTGAAACTCCCACCAGCTGTGTCCCCAAGATCCTCGCCACCGTGGGGTGTTAGGAATCTTTCTAGTTCAGAGAGCTACAGTGTATCTCGTCTCACGGTGTCCTTGTTCTTCTGTCTGCCCTCCTAGGATTGTTAGCACCCAGCTGCCGCCCTCCCTCACCGCCAAGGTCCTGCTTCGTCGAGCTGCACTTCGGGACCAGGTATGGTAAACCGCCCTCCTGGCTGGGATGCTTCATCCAAGGCGTCTGTCTGCGCCAGGGGGCTGCTGGCAAGGCCAATCCCCAGTGCTGGATGGACTGGGCAGCTGCTGCGGCTCGGGGGGCACTTGTTTCGCTGAATCTTGTCAGGCCCTCCGGGCCGTCAGTGTGGTTGTCCTCAGGAGTGAGGTCCTGGCAAGGCCGGAAGAAAACGTTCTCTTCTGCGGGGCAGACCTGGAAGCTGGTTCTTCTTCAGTCTAGGGGGAAGTCTGAGAGTTTGACCTCCCCCAGGGTGCGCTTCATGTCAGAGATGCTGGATCTCCCAGAGACACTGTGAAGGATGACTTAGGAACACAGGAACTGTTTTGAAATACTTCCATCTTATATTTATTTAAGTGCTTTCATAATGAAAAGAAAAGTCAGTGGTGCTCATGGAGAATAAAATTGCCCACAGAGATAAGGACTGCTGGCCTCTCACGGGCTCCCTTCCAGTCCGTTTTCCTTTTTTCTTTCTTGTTTATTCTTAGCGCGTGCAGCTTTAGGTTTAAATGTATCATGTGGTTAGCTTTTTACACTTATTGTATCAGTAGACACTTAAAACGCACATGGGGCTCTATTCGGGCCCTTTCTCCACTGTGGGTGTTGTGGACACAGCCTTTCTGGTAAACTATTTGATAAGGATAGCAGTAAGGATGCCCTTTCCTTTTTCCTAATACTTCAGCTTCTGGGAATCGATCCTAAGGAAATCATCCAACTGCTGAAAAAGTTGATACGTAAAGCGTTATCGCAACAGGGTTTATGAAAGTGAAAAATCAAATGTAACATAAATGTCTAAGTCAGGGGTTGGTGCCCCACAGCCTGTGGCCAGTTGCCTGTGAAGTGTGATTGCATCTTTCAAGCTGCAGAAGCAAGGGGAGTAGTTGCGACAGAGACCGTATGGCCCACGAAGCCAGACACACGTACCGCGCTGCCCTTTCCAGAGCGAGTTTGCAGTCGCTGGTCTACAGTAAGGGAGTGGGTAATCCACCTACACTGCTTTAAACTGCATCTGATTTTAGCCAGCCACTTCAAGGGGCCAAAGATGCTCGGATGACAGGAGTTGTGTGGTACTCTTTTAAGCAGAAAGATAGAATTTTATGTAATATCTCAAAGTATTAAAAAAATGCATAGACTTAAAGGAAAATATGCCCAGTATGAACAGTATTAGCTTGTGGGTGGGGGAATTATATGTAGTTTTTTTTGCTGTTGAATTTTTGTCTAGAGTAAGGTTATGTATATAACCTGAAACATGAATTTAAAAAATCACCAAAAAAGAGAGAAAGAAAGCCATATCATTTCTTTGGTGTGAAAGTCATTTTAGCTAGCAGAGCAGCTTTTGTTTTTGTTTTTCTTTTGTTTCGATGGTCCTTTTGGAACACTTTAGGTTGAAATGTCTGGAAAGCTCTCTGGAGAAAATTCCTAATTTTTGAGAAAATTGGGTTTCTCACCTGGATTGTGAATCAAAATAAACAAGCGAGGCCTCCTGGCTTTTGTTCCAGTCAGATCCTTTATCGCGAGGGTCCTGAGGTTTTCACATTTTTGTTATAACAGAATTTGTGAGTTCTGTGCCAGGGCTGTGGTGGAGTTAGCTACATTCTAGAAGAGGCGTCCTCCGAAGGTGCAAAAGATGACGTGAATCCTCCCTTTTATCCCCAGAGGGGAGAAGTCAGAAATCAGGACGGGAAGCCTGATGTGCGTTGTGTGGAGCTGCTGCCCCGCAGCGTGTGTCGGCCGGGTCTCGCCTGCCCCCAGCCGCGGTGGGGAGCAGGCAGCTCGGGGCAGCTTCTGTTCCATCTGCTTTGCTGCTGGCATGTGGTTGGGACAAGCATTCTGGGCCTGGCTAAGTTTGATGAACAGATGGCACAGTGCGGGCCTGATGGTGGGTCAGGAGGAGAACGTGGTGCCCAGGCCAACTCCTGTGTGTTTCTTTCCAGAGAACACCTGCAGGAGGGGAGGCCCTGCAGGACCATGGTGAGTAGTCGGGTGCATCGTTGCATCTTGAAAACGCGCCTCTGAGGCTACCTGTCCCCGCACCAGCCACGGGAAGGCTGAGTAGTCCCATATGGTCGTTTCATCTGTTCCTGAGGTTAGAGAATACATAGACCAGAGCTTCAAGAACAGAGTTCCCCATCAGAACCCAACTGTAAAGCGTGATTTTAGGCCTGCCTTTAATACCTGTTTTCAGACCCTCCGTAACTCACCAGTACACGACTGCTCTGACAAGTTCCAGGGCATCCTGAGTAGGAGAGGGTGAGATCAGTGAGGGCAAGACTGCCAGAAAGACCTTTTGCAGGATGTGGAGGTACCCCCAGGAGGGCTATTTTGAAGCAGAATTTGAAACAGATCCCTTTTGTCAGTTGGAAGTGGTTTTTTCCAGCTTTTGTCTTTTTTTTTTTTTTTAAGTCCCACTAAAGTTTCTTCCACCACATGTCACCCTCTCCACAGCTGGGACTAAAGTCGCCAACAGGGCCCCTTGCTGACCACAGAAATGGTCACTGCAGTTTTGTGGTCGTTCTGGACTGAAGAGAGCCTGCCAGGGCCGTTCCCCGAGCTGGCGTGTGGGTTGAATACGTCGCCCCGAGGACAGTTACTACCCCTCTGGCTTCTCTGGCTCAGGCGACAGCCCTGTCATGTTGCTTTGCCATCCTAGGGGCAGCACTCCCCCTGAATGTGCAGATCATTCCTGTTTTCCTGAGCGAGGAGGAAGCTGTCAGTCTCCGTGAGTTCCCAGGGGAGCTGATAACTAGGTAAGGGAGCTCCTGGGGTTGGGGGTCATTGTAAACCATGCTTTGGGCACTCCCTCACATGGGTTTCTCCACACCAGCCACCAGTACATCCCATCCTTCCTTAACTCTATCTCCTCCACGCTCTGCCTTGGAAGGGGCATCGGGAACTTGAGCATGTAGCTAAGAGGCAGCTGGCATAGTAAGATGACTGTGGGTTTTAAATCCCAGATCTGTTGCTTATCATATGTGACCTTGGGCAAGTCCATTCCCTACCTGAGCCTCAATTTCTTCATCTGTAAAATGGATTCAGTAATATCGGCTTCATGGGCTCATTGTGAAAACTGGAAATAAGAGTATGTGCCAGGCCCAATATAGGGCCTGACTCATAGATCTCCAGATGTGGGGCCTCTTACTGAGTGGCCCTGCCGTTTTCAGTAGGTGATCCGGGTACCACTGCGGGAAGCCCTGAGGGCTAGGCATTGCCTTACTTGTACTCCTGTGGTTTGACCATGAGGGCCTCTTGGGCTCTTTGGCCTCAGGCATGCACGTGTCCCGGATGCCCGTGCTTTTTAGGGAAGCGGTGCTTTAGTGCTCCAGGGAGGGCGCTTGCCCCTTCCTCACATCTGCCTTGCTCGCCAGTTCTCCTGCGCCTCCAGCCAGACTCCAGGAGCGCGCATCTGCCCTGAAGGAAGGTGCCACCAGGCATGTGGAATCCACGGCCTGGACAGTGGCCACCACCCTGGAGTCCACATCCCCTGACGTGGCTTGGCCAAATGGCAGGGGAGAGAATGGACATGTGTCTGACCATCCTGCAGAGCTGCTCGACACGGCCTGGGGAAGGGCTCCTGGTCTCAGCCACTCCCTGGGCAAGCAAGCTGCTTTGTTCAGGGAGACAGAAGACCTGGACTTGTCTGAAATCCACATTCCACAAGATCAGGAAATGGGAACATCCTCAGATTATTTTGCCTTCCAATGTGTGTGCGCCCCAGAAGGTGGTGGTCCCCACTGCAAGGAATCTGTCAGCGACTCTGGCAACCCCGATCCCAGGCTGCCTGAGACCGTTCCTGTGGGCACAGCCATCAGTGGCCTCTTCTCTCCCTCCGCTCCGGAGATGCTCTCCCAGAATGGAGCCCTAGAACAGTGCAAAGACCTTCCTGGTGACAGCAGCGCAGCCCCCATTTCCAGGGAAGACTGTCTCTCCAGAAGGACGAGTTGGCCATTGTCATCGCCTCGCCTGGAGTCGAGGCAGACAGGAGCTGAGCTTCCCGTGGGTGATCAAGGCATGGAACAGGGTGTGGATGGAGTTCATGAGAGCTGCTCAGCTCCGCACCTGGAGCGGGGCTCAGGCTCGGCAGACTCTCAGGGCACCCGCCCCCCTGCAGACAGAACTGCCTGTGGGTCCACCCCAGCGTCCCGGACAGGCCTCGTGCGGATGAACCTCTACACTCACAGTGTTAAAGGCCTGGTGCTGTCCCTGCTGGCCGAGGAGCCTCTGCTGGGAGACAGCGCAGCCCTAAAGGAGGTGGTGAGTGTGCTCAGACCTCCCCAGCCCCTCGGGAACCTCTCCCCGCCTCCTAGGGACGGGACGGGGAGGGCAGGTGCTCCCCGCCTCCCAGGGACAGGACAGGGAGGGCAGGTGCTCCCCGCAGCACTGCGCTGACGCAGAGTGGGAGGGGACAGGGCTCAGCTTTAGCTGCCTGGCCTCGTGCAGAGCGTCCTTGTTGCTACAGTGGGGTTGGTGTAGCCCCTGCCTCCCGGGGTTCTGTGGGGAGTGAGTGAGGGGGAGTCCAGTGCAGGGCCCAGTGCCTGGTGCAGAGGCATCCACAAGTGTCGATTCTCGCTCTTTCCTGCTCCTTCCGGTTTCTCAGAGCACAGGCCTTGGAGGAGTCCTGGCTCTGGCCGTGTGATCTTGCACACAGGCCTTGGCCCTCTGAGCCTTGCTCCTCAGCAGCAGTCTGGGGGTGCAGCACGACCTGCAGGTGCGATGGCCGCACGCACAGCCATTCTTGTGCCACCACCACCACTCGTGGCCTCCCTTCCTAGCCTGGCAGCTCTGGGTTCTGTGTTGGCTGGAGTCTGTGCTCTGCACATGTCGCAGCCTGGGTTGGGAGTGCTCTGAAAGCCCCACGTTTCTCTCCATCTGAAACTCCTTCCTAGAAGGCCTGGGACATCTGAAATGCTAAGTGGCTCCAGAAGGCTCCTCTTAACCCATTCCAGCCCTTCCCCACTCCCAGCTGTAAACTGACCTTCTAGGGTCCTGGAGATCCAGTTGCTATAGTAACAGCCTTGCTGTAGTCAGCAGGGAAGTGGTAGCAGTATGAACAGCAGGTTGAAATTGCTGCAGGGCGAATGGTGTCCTGGGGCTTGCCTTGTTTTTGTTCTTAAATCTATATTATTCTAAGCGGATCTTATTAGCAGGCAGGGCTTGTGACCCTCCATAAATGAGCCAGTCACCTTGGGGCTTAGAGGAGGAGGGTGGGCACAGAGCCCAAGACGAGAGACTGCTCCTCTCTGTCTGTCCTCCTTATCTCTGCCCTTGCCACAGACCCCAGGTCACCACGTGGTGGCTTGTTGCCTTTCCACATCCTCCCTCACTGCAGCTGTAAGTGACTTCTCCGCCTCCCTGTGACAGCCCAGGGACCCGTGGTTGCAGTTTCATACATCTTAGCCCCGACCATGCCTTGGTTTCCACGGTCTGTTCTGCTTTGTGCTGATCCATAGATGTCTTATTTTGAAGGCCCAGGGCTTGGATGCAATAAAGTGGATATGATATCTCTCTCTTACCTTCCCCTAAAAAGAAAAAGAAAAGAACAGTGCTGGCTGCTCTTGGAGAAGGAAGTAAGTTAAGATGTATGCTGCATTCACTATATGCTAAATAGTTTACATACGTTATTTTAGCCAAGCTTTAGAACAGATCTGAGGGTAGGCATTGGAACTCCCATTTTACCAGTAAGAAAACAGCCTCATTGAGATAACAGCCTAATGCAAGTGGTGGGTCCAGAATTCTCATCCCTTGCCCCTCCTCTCTGTTCCCCCACCAATCTGACCTTGGAATGATAGGTGGGAAGGTGAAGGAGTAAATGCCCTGCCTCTGTGGCTCTTGATATGTGGCATGTCCCTTGGTTTTCACAGCCCATCCGTGTTGATAGACAGTGGCCTCCGTGGGCTTTCATGTAAACTGGGGGTGTTGGGTGCGCCTCAGGACAGAGGGTGCAGTTTCACGGAAGAAGAAAAAGCCTTCCAAGAGTAGGGCGTAACTGAGTGATCAGGGTGCTGATTTGAGAGTGGGGCAGGTTCATCAGACCTGAAGGCTGTCTATTTTGTAAGTGGGAGAGATCATTATTGTCTTTTTGTCCCAGATCTGCATACAGAATCCTTGACCTGATTTCCCTCCAGACCCTCTGCTGCTGTCTAGAAAAGCAGGTCCTGCAGAATGGGAAACCGCAGTTCAGATGTGACAGTTGAGCACAGCCCCTTGAAGGGCTCCTTGACTGTGTTGCACACTGCCAAGGCGCCCGTGTGCCAGTTTGCCATCTTGTCTTTCTCTGGATCAACTGCCACCTCTTTGTGTTTGCCAAGGCGGGGAGGCATGTGAAAGGGGGTGTGCGGGGAGCAGCCGGTTCAGAGGGAACAGTAAGCCCACACCAGGGGGCAGCATAGAGCCACAGATAGTTTCCTGCTCGAAACCCAAGATGATCTCGCTGACCTTTACCTACAGTGGTCAGATGAATTATTCATTGCTCCAATAGGACACCGAGCTGTCTGTGTGCTGTAGATGAGGCAGGGGTAGTGCGAGGGCGTTAGTGTGGAGCACTTTACGAGAAAGGACCCCTCCCCCGTGACGTGAAGTGTGTTCGGTTCTTCTGCACGTTCTGGCACACGCTGACGTGCGAGCCGCCTGCTTTGCCGTGGACTTGAAGCAGAGGATCCAGGAGTTCGCCCCAGCACCGTGTCTCCTAGGGCTGGCGTGAGGATCCTGTCTGTGCTAGGACATATCAGGGGTGGGCAGACTTTCAGTCTCAGGGAACACGTAGCAGATATTCTCTGCACAGCTTTCAGCCCCGCTGTACAGATGTAGAAACAAATCCGCCACAGACAACGTGTATGTAAATGGCGCGGCTGTGGTACAGTAATGCTTTATTTATGGACACAGAAATTGGAACTTCATTTAATTTTCACGTCTCATTATTATTTTGATTTATTTTTCCTAACCATATAAAAATATAGAAACCATTCTTGGTGCTCAGGCTATACAAAAACAGGCAACAGGCTGGATGTGGTTCACAGGCCATGGTTTGCTGACCCGTGGTATCTATGACAGCACTTGGTTACCAGGAAAGAACTGTCCATGTGTCATCTGATAGAACGTCTTGTGATTAACTGGGTGTATGGTTAAGTGACTTTATCTTCAGCACAAGTTAGGCAGAAGATTCCAGAAGTGGAGCTCAGTGCCTACAGGGAAAACTCGCGTTTTGGCACGGCTCACTCTCTGTCCCCGTCATCCTTTCCTCTGGGCACCAGCTGGGGATGGGAGGGGGACTGTTGCCAGATTCCTGAGGTGCAGAAGCTTCCAGTGAGGCTGTGGTTTGACTTCATGGTGAATGCTTGTACACACACACACGCACCTGTTCAAGTAGGAGCCTCTCAGTATCTGTGACATTTGGTGTTGGTTAGGCTGTCCCAGTGAGCTGCACGGGAGGGACTGTGCTTGTCCTCCCTTAGCACATGGCCTTTTACTTACTCTGCACCTCCATGAAGCCACACAGCTCAGAAGGTGACAGTGCTTGGCATCAGTTATGCTCACTTATCCAGTCGCTTAGTAGATATGTGTCAAGCACCTGCCAGCGGCCAGGCACTCTGCTAGGCATTGGGGATGCACAGATGAGTGCATGAAATAAATCCTCGGGTGCAAACCTGCTGCCTCTAAATATCATTTCTAAGATGTTCAGATAGAAAATCTAATTTAAGCCTTGTACATTACTGAAAATAACACCTACTGCTCCATGGCATTCCCCTCAGAAGTATCCTGTTTGCATCTCTGTATTTTTTATGGGTGCTTATTTTTTTGCACAGCTGTTGAAAAATAGTCAATCCTCAGACAAGTCCTAGGTGCTCATTAAAGAGCCACCACTTCCTTAATAATGGTCGTTGTTACTTCTTGACTCTTTATAAAAATGCCTTCCCTCAGGGTGGCACTTCAGAATCCACAAAGGACATTTAGATATGTTATTTCTTAATCCACTCAACAGTCCTGTAGTATTCCCATTTTGCAAATAAAAGAAAATCAGGCACAGAAAATTTAGTAACTTGCTCCTGGTCGTCTGGCCGGGAAGAGGCTGAGCCAGGATGTCCTTCACCTGGGAGCCATCTGTACCCGGGGACAGCGGCCTTCTTGTGGCCAGAGCCGCCCCGGGGAGCCCCAGGAGGCCCTGTTTCAGACTGAGTCTGTCGGATGTGACTGATATACACGGTCAAGTCCAAAGGGGAGCTCAGTGAACCCCACAAGCCGGTGAAGGATGACGCTGTGGGAGAGCACTTTCAGGACGAAGAAGGTGCCCTGTGCTCTGTCAGTGGCTATGAAGCCAGTGTCATCATTACTTGTGGTCGGACCCCAATTTTATTTTATACAAAAAGAATCATACAAAATGCTATAGTCCAGGGTCCTCGACTGTACCTTGCAGGAACGGTGTGGGGCTGATCCTGTTCCAGGTGCTGGGAGAGAGGCGAACTCATTGCGGACAGTGGAGGCCTTCTCGGCCCGGGGGGTGGCGGGGGGCGGGCCGGCCGGCCGCACCGTGAGACCGTGCAGCTGGGTGGGAAGGCATGGTGAGGAGGAGCACCGTGCTGCTAATAGTGCCTATTTCTGGGTGGTGAGATTATGGGCCATTTTTCTTTGCTTTTTTTTTTTTTAAAGATTTTATTTTTTTCCTTTTTCTCCCCAAAGCCCTCTGTACATAGTTGTATATTCTTGGTTGTGGGTCCTTCTAGTTGTGGCATGTGGGACGCTGCCTCAGCGTGGTTTGATGAGCAGTGCCATGTCTGCGCCCAGGATTTGAACCAACGAAACACTGGGCCGCCTGCAGCGGAGCACGTGAACATAACCACTCGGCCATGGGGCCAGCCCCCGTTTTTCTTTGCTTTTGTTCTTCTTAAATTTTTTTTCTGCTCACCTCTATTTTCTACAACTTAAAAAAAGCACTAGAACCTAAGGGTGGAAGTTAGTACTTGTCTAAAAACAGGTGAAAACACTGGGCAGAGCGCTTTGGGGATGATTATTGCCTAAGTCCGCGGCGTGCCAAGGTCGGTCCTGCAGCCGTGACCCTGTCTGGCCCTTCGCAGTACCACAGTAGCCTGGCGTCCCTGAACGGGCTGGAGGTGCACCTGAAGGAGACGCTGCCTGGAGACGAGGCTGCCTCCACGAGCAGGACATACAGCTTCGCGCATCTGGACCGCATTCAGAACGTGCTGATGGGTAAGGAGCGCGCGCTGCGGCCAGAGCCTCCCGGAGGGGCGAGCGTAGCACTACTGCCTCTCACTTGGGGCCCAGCGCCCACGGAGTTTACAGTTCGCTGAGAAACACTCCCTCTCTCATGTGTTTCTTTCTGGTGGTTTCTCCAACATTTTGAGAGGAGCACACACCTGTTCAAATATCTGTGAAAAGGTCTGCCCCCAAATTTTGATATTCCTGTGCAGAAACCTGGTGTTGCTCATCATCGGGGACTGTGTGTGCTCTGTGGCGTGGTGGCAGCAGTGGGGCCAGCACGGTGGCCTCTGTCTCTCCCCTCGGCACCTGCCCTCACGGCCGTGAGCCGTGCTCAGTCCCAGTTGACAGCCTAGGGGTGGGGAGGTGGCGGGAGGAGGCTGCTGCTCACCGCTTGCGTGTCCTCTCCTGGAAGCAAACCTGCCTCAGGTGGCCACGCCCCAGGACCGCCGCTTCCTCCAGGCCGTCAGCCTGCTGCACTCCGACTTCGCCCAGCTGCCTGCGCTGTACGAGATGACCGTCAGGTGAGCCTCCCCTGGGTCCCTCTTGCAGTCCTGCCCCAGGAGTCCTTCGCTGGGCCGCGGGCAGAGCCTTCTTCATGACCGGATGGAGAACATGCGCCTACTCCAGGGAAGGCCTTCCTTCCCTGCTCCGGTGGCTGCCGGCATCTGCTCTCGTGCTTTCCTGCGTTGGTGTTTTCCGGCCCCCTTCCTGGGGCTCAGACCCGCTTTGGACACAGGGGTGCAGTAGTGAGGAAACCTGGGGTCCTCTCTCGGAGCTTCCGTGGTTACTGGGGAAGGCAGGTCTCTGTCACCCTCCAGGAATGAGCTGACATGACATCATTGTCTTCTCCTTTCACACGTCATCTGCGCTCACTGTGAGAGCATCCAGACTCCTCCGGGTCTGTCAAGTCACGTGTTTCCTCCGCTCACCACTGCGCCCCCCAGAGGGGCCCACAGTTAATAATTTAGGGCGTGTGACTCTAGGTTGGTGGTGGGTTTGGTTTTCATTTCTTGCATATAAAATATAGATTAATTTGAATTTTTATTTTCATTATTTTAATAGTCTTCTAGAAAACAGGATCATACTATTCAGTTTTTTTTTTTTTTAAAGATTTTATTTTTTTCCTTTTTCTCCCCAAAGCCGCCTGATACATAGTTGTATATTCTTCATTGTGGGTCCTTCTAGTTGTGGCATGTGGGACGCTGCCTCAGCGTGGTTTGATGAGCAGTGCCATGTCCGCGCCCAGGACTCGAACCGACGAAACACTGGGCCGCCTGCAGCGGAGCGTGCGAACTTAACCACTCGGCCACGGGGCCAGCCCCTATTCAGTTTTATTTTTTTTTGGCATGGGGAAGATTAGTCCTGAGCTAACTGCTACCAATCCTCCTCTTTGCTGAGGAAGACTGGCCCTGAGCTAACATCCATGCCCATCTTCCTCTACTTTATATGTGGGATGCCTACCACAGCATGGCTTGCCATGCAGTACCATGTCTGCACCCGGGATCCGACCCAGCAAACCCTGGGCCGCTGAAGCAGAACGTGCACACTTAACTGCTGTGCCACAGGGCTGACCCCACTTTGTTTCATATTTTGAACACTCCATGCCAGTAGATATAGATCTATGAATTATTCTAGTAATTTATAGTGTTTAACCAACAGGATTCTGCGTTTTCTCTCTACGTGCTTCTCTCATGAAACCAGTAGGAGAGAATGAGGCATGTTAGAGGATGAGAAGGGGCGTGCCTGCTATGTGTGTTGAGTCTTTAGAACGATTTGGGCAAGTGCGTTCTTTCATCCTCATTTTACAGACAAGGAATCGCAGCACAAGTAGGAAAAGTGACTTGTCCCCGGGTCACGCTCTTCTTAGGAGCAGAGCCAGGGTTTGACCCAGGCGTCCCTGACCATGAAGTACCTGTTCCCTCCACACGCATCTCCAGGTTCAGGGCCACTGTGGTTGAGTGGAGGGGAGGGCTCTGCACTGGAGCCTCGGCTGTCATGGTGGCCCATTCTAATGCTGTCACCTGCCACCCTCGAGAGCCGGGCATTTCTGCTGCCCAGCGCCATCTCCAGCCAGGATTTCCATATATCCTTCCACAACAAATGTGTCTTCTCTGGCTGTCAGAGCTGCCCAGGCTGGCAGCCTGCATGTGGTTTGCATTTACGATCACTGGTTTGGAACTGGGGTGTGGGGGTGGGTGTGTGGGGGGTGTGTTATGGGAGGTGGGAACAAGTGAAATGTCAGCATCTGATCCGTCAACCGGCGGTATTTCACCTTCCTTGGAGCTAAGAGGGTTTAGTCTTGGGGTACGTAGCTCAAGGCATTTGTTGAGAGATTATTTTTATAATAATAATAGAAACAACAGAAAAATAAAAATAGAAATAATACCATTTCTTAATTACTCACCATGTGCTAAGCAATTGATATATATTCCTACTCATTTAATCTCAGAAAATTTCAATGAGGGATGTACTATTGTCATATCCATTGTACAGATAAGAAAGCTGGGACTCAGAAAGGTTGAGTAACTTAGCCAAGCGCACACAGCCGGGAAGTTGCAGGGCTGGGATTAGCACCCAGGCGTGTGTGACTCCAGATCCGTCTCCTTGAGATCCAGGAAGGAGAAGCTGGAGGATGGGATTCTCCTCCTCCTTACCTGGAAGGAGAGATCTGGGTTGGAGAACCTTAGTGGTCCCTGACTCCACCTTCTTTCACTGGATTTGGGGAAACTGAGGCCCAGAGGTGAAATAGTTTGAGACAGGCAGGATGGAGGAACCTGGTGGTCTCCTGGCCTTGGAGTCACTTCCTCCCAAGTAGGTCCTCCTTTGCACAGGACCCTCATCCCTCCTTCTACTTCCGTCTGTACAGGTTTCCTGTCACTTGATTTCACTCCCCACTCTTCTGTCCCCTCACGCCCCTCACTCCTCATCTCTCCACCCTGGTGTGCGAAGACGATCGGACCCCTTCCTCGGACACTGTCAGTGCTTGTGATAGAGGCCTGGCAGCCTCCCCACCCTCAGAGCCTCAGGGTCCTCCTCTGGCCAGTGGGATAATTCCATTTCTGCGTGGGGCTGAGGAGGAATGAGCCAGGCTAGAGGGGAGGCGTTTTGCTTAGCTGCTGTTATACCCACAAAATGTGCACCCAGCAATGCATTTATGCAGTTGTTACAACTTCCGGCTCTGTGGCTGCAGCCACTGCGCACTGTCCTGCCACAGACAGTCCCAGTGAGTTGAAAGGAAGGAAGGACAGTTATTGGCGCTGAAGCCTGAAACTCAAGTGAGTAAGTGGAGCCCTGAGCCGTGAGACCTGCCCCCACAGAGTTTGGTGTCCTAGGCCGGACAAGCACCTCGCGTGGGCTCTGTGTGGTCTGCGGTCTGCACAGGCAGCGCTGGACTGTTGTCTTCTTTCCTCCTCCCACAGAAACGCCTCCGCAGCCGTGTACGCCTGTTGCAACCCCGCCCAGGAAACCTACTTCCAGCAGCTGGCGGCGGCGGCGCGGAGCTCCGGCTTCCCGAGCCCACAGGATAGCGCCTTCAGCCTCCCGGGCAGGGCCAGGCAGAAGCTGCTGAAGCACGGGGTGAACTTGCTTTGAACTGTGCCCGCAGTGGGATGCTCTGTACCCCGGGACATGACTGTCAAGTCGAATGCCAGCAAAGGAAGCTCTGCCTTCTTAAACGTCCTCTATTGTGTTCTTCTTGGCGTATTATTCCCTTTTTTAGGAATGTAATGATGTTTGAGTGAGTGTTGCTCCTTCTTCAGAGTATTTTTCGGGTCAGCAGACCTAGAGCTCGTGATAAAGCCCTTCCTTCCACTGGCTGCTCTGTTGGGCCAGGACGGTGCTGTGGCCCTTTATACCAAAGAGGGGCCGGGCCAGTTAGTTTCCCTGTCACACTGAGCCCAAGGCAGGTGACAGTCCCTGCTGCTGTTCCAGCCTAGTCTTATCCAGTACCACAAACATTGAGCTTGGTGTTTTTCCTAGGACCCCGCTGTGTGGTCTAGAGTTTGTCCAGCCCTGTGTCCAGGGGGCGGTATGAGGTGTGGCCGCACAGGGAGGACATGGACCGTTGTGCCAGCCACCCGGACTCCCACTTCCCAGCTAGGCCGTCCTCAGAGCATCCTCCTGGGAGGGCTGGGCACTTCCTGCAGGGAGGCAGTTAGAGGTGCCAGACCACCGTGTTTGAATTCCTCTGGCACTGGATTCCAAACCAGGAGCCTGTTCTTGGGCCTCCCGCAGTGGGGGCAAATCTTCAGAAGGTGCGTGGAAGGGAGTTTGGGGTCAGAGGTAACCTTGAGGTGCCAGGACGGAGAACCGGCGATGACAGACAGGCTAGCTCCTGTGGTTACAACTGGGCTGTGCAGCCGGTTCCTCTAGAGTGAGTGTCCCCAGATGGGAGTTTCCAAAGTGTATGGGAGCAAAATCAGAACTGTGCTTTCCAGCAGTGTCTGTGTGAACGGGAAGAGCATTCCTTGGTGGGTTTCCGCGCCGGTGTAGTACTTAGAATATCAGTCCTATTACATAAGAGTCAGACATTTTATGATCAGATGCAGGTCACAAGATGAAAATATTTACCACAGTCTTCACTGAATGTTTACTGGAAGTACCTGAGATTCCATTTGAAATTATTCCATTAATAATTTCACGTCAGTGAACAAATATCTAATGTTTATGGAATGGTGCCTTTTTCTTGAAACAAGTTCCCAAGGGCTAGAAATAAAACAGCCAGAAATGCTATTGAGTCCTGAGTAATTGAATAGTAAGGTCTCTAGTGACGAAGTTAAGGGTTAAGATACTGTGTCTGCATGTGTGTGTTTTGCGTGGACACATCTCTCTTTTCCTCCGTGCTCCAGTGTGGCCAGCTGAGGAGGCTGCACCGCAGCATGGGCGTCTGTCAGGGTGGCGTGCGCAGCCGGCAGCTCCAGCAGCACCAGGCCCGGGTCACCCTCTCTCTCACCTCTCCCTGGGGTCCCTCCTGCCACTGGCTGGCCTAAGAGGCCGATCTTCCCAGATGGAGGAGGATCATACCTCAAGCTAGGATAAATGTATATCCTCCTACTTCTCTGCAAAATTCTCCAAGAGAAAATTCATCGCCAGTCTCTGTGCCAGCCTCTGAAGGAACCTTCCCATGACTGACTGACACATCACGCATTCCTTTTCTGTTGTGGGTATTTCTAAGCAGCCAAACTTTTCCTTTTGCCCACTGATGCTCCAGAATTGCGAGGCCCTCAGTCTGAGCTTGGTGAAATTACAACCTGTCATGTGTGGAAACGGACAGAACTGGGAGCCCAGAGCCCACATTCCTCCGCTCACCAGTAGTTCCCTGACTGCCTGTGTTCGAGGCCGCGTCCACACGAGGTCTGCTTCACGAGCAAACCGCTTGGTTGTCTCTGGGCCCTTGCCCAGGTACCAGGCCACTGGCAGATCTTCACCTTAGCTGCTTTGCTTTCAGAAACCTCTCCCATCTAATGTCCCAGGGCTGCCGCTGGTCTAAAAATGCTTTGAATACAAGCATTTGGGTTTTGAGAAGCAGTGCCCGAGGCAGCCAGGTGCTTCCCTTTAAGTTGCATCTCAACAATCAAATGAAGAGCCTGAGGTCAGGAAGACCCACATGCAATGGTCACTTTAGAATACGTCCACAAGTTCTGTGCTACAAATTAGGGACCTAATTGTCCTCTCTTGAGTGTGGGCTGTACTTAGTGATTCATTTCTGATGCATAGAATGTGGTGAAAATGGCAGCATGACATCTGAGAGTCGGTTATAACACGACAGCTTCCATCTCTCTCGGTTCACCTGTTTTGGGAGACGCTGCCGTTCAGGCAGCCCTACGGGGAAGCCCTCATGATGACGGTCTCCTGCTGACAGCCGCGTGAACGGGCCTTCTTGGAGGCAGGTCCTCCAGCCCCGGTCAGGCCTCAGATGACTGCAGCCTTGGGAGGAACTCCCCAGACCGTCAGGCTAAGGCACTTCTGAATTCCTAGCCCTCAGAAGGTGTGGGAGATAATAAAGGTATGTTGTTTTAAGCCACTCTCTTGGGGGTAATTTGTTACACAGCAATAGGTAATTAATACTCTTGGATGCTCATATCCCGTCCACCACACTAGGCTCTTTACAGCTTTGGCACAGGGGACCCTTGAGGCAGATGCTAGACAGCATCCATCTCAGAGCCCAGCCACCTCCTTCCCCACCTTGGAGAGCTGGGCTGGACAATGAGGAAGAAACTGTGGGTACTCCCTCAGCTTTCTTCCTACAAGTTCCACATCCTGGCATTAATGGTCACCTGGGTCCCTGCTTCCTTTCTGGCCCCACTTCCTTCTCCAGCGCCCCAGGTGCCCTCAAGCAGGATACTTGCATCTGAGAGTGGGTGTCCATCCAAATGGCCCCCAAGTCCCCAGCCTTCCTGGGCCAGTGTCTCTGGGAGGGAGGTGGTGGGGGCCCTGGGCAACAGTGACGGTTCCTGCAGTCTGAGGACCCTCAGCAGGTGGGCGCTGGAGGATGGCAGCATGGTGGGAGGAGTGGGGGGCGTCTCTGGGTGAGAAGCATTCCTTGGACCTAGGATGCCCCTTGGGGCTGGGAGGGGTAGTTGGCAGGAGGAGGAGGGGAAGAGGGTCCGTCTCCCTCACCTGATTTCTTGTCAAATAGCCGGCGTCAGCCTGGAGAGTGGCCTCTGGCGTGTGCATTTCCGCTGTTCCCGCCGAGCCTCAGGCCCGGCCGTCAACCCCAGTCCAGCCTCCAGCCCTCTGCTGTGGCCGCTCCAGCACATTCCCCTCCGCTCCACCTGGCGTCCCTGGTGCCACGCCGAGGAAGACAGTTGTATAGCGTTCTCTGTGTTGTGAGCCTTCCACTCCCACCGAGATCTAACCCTACACATCCCGCCCCTTGTCTACGGAAAAGGACCCCCCAAGGCTCTTCCACTCAGGATTAATTCAGAAGAGCGCAAGTCCAGAAACACATCCAGGCACTCGCCCCCTCTTTGCGTCTCTGGTCCTGTCTAGTTTCTGCAGTGGAGCTCGGCTTGTGGCTGAGGGCACAAGCCACAGCCCTGATGGCAACCGTGGCCCAGAGGCTGCTGGAAAAGGAGCATTTAACCCCTCGTCTTCCTGTTCAATAGCTCAGAGGTTCGGGGGCTCTCAGGCTCAGGACGGCGTTTAATGCACAGCCCCAGGCCCATCCCCTCAAAATTAGCCTCTGAACACCAGGCCCCCCCCACCGAACGCAGGCCTTTCCTGCTGGATTGATCCCCATGCCCTCACGGCGGTGCTCCCCGGGGAAGGCGGCCTTGGCAGCACAGCCTGCCCTGCCTTGGTTCACGGTTGACACCAGAGTGCCACTGTCGATCCAGGACAACCGCCTCCTGGGAGCTGGGAACACTGGAGGAGGGAGAGGAAGTGAAAGGCTCTGTTCAGGGGCAGTCCCTGCCAGCTGCTCAGCGTCTGCCGCCTGTGAATCGTGGACCGAGGATAGTGTTCCTGTGGAGTGACTGATAGTGGCAGTCAGATTCCTGCGGGGAAAGGACCTCTGTTCTCTAGGGGGACGTTTGAGCCTAATCCAACTGCCTCCCCCTGGAGGGAAGCATGTAGACTCCTCTGCTCTTCCCTTGACTGCGGGTGCAATTGGACACTGCATCTCGGGTGAAGTCGCCCCTTCTGGTGTCTCTCTGAGTGAGTAAGCCCCTTGGCGGTCCTTTCCCAGGCGGCTGAGATCTCTGCACACCCCTCCAGTCAGCGCGTTCCTAACAAACACCCCACCCTGCAGTGAGTAGGGACGCGCCCTCCACCGTGTGAGCATCCTCACGCCAGCCACAGGCCTGCGGCGTGGGCTGAATGGTGGCCCCCAGAGGCGTCATCTCCTAATCCCGGGAGCCTGGGAGTGTTACCTCATATGCTAGAGGTTTTGCAGGTGTGAGTCAAGGCTCTGGAGATGGAGAGAGCATCCCAGATTATCCAGGTGGGCCCTAAATGCCATCACACCTGTGCCTGTATTCTAAGCGTGCGGCAGAGGCAGCGTATTCCCACCAGAGAAGGCAAAGTGAAGATGGAGGCGCAGGTGGGAGGGATGCAGCCACAAATCAAGGATGCCAGGAGGGGCAGGGACGGATTCTGCCCCAGAGCCCTCGGAGGGACTGCAGCTCTGCTGACACACTGATTCAGGTCCCGTGAAGCCGACTTGGGACCTCTGACCCCCAGAAGTGTGAGAGAATAGAGTCCTGTTGTTCGAGGCCACCAGGTTTGCAGCAGTTTGTAACAGCAGCCACAGGACACTAACACACCCACCCTGCACACTTAATGTGATTGTCCTGACGATTCCGAGCTCCCTGTCTTTGAGCAGTGCAGTGCCCCAGAGCACAGGTGGGGAGCGAGGGGAGACGGGGCTGTGCCACAAAGGCCCAGCCAGGCTGCCGAGGCCCTGGCACAGGGGGGGCCTGTGACTCGGGAGTGATGGGTCTGGTTCACTGGAAAGGTCATGGGCTCCTGATAAGCAGGGCTGGAGTGGGAGCCACCAGGAGGCCATGCCTGTCTGGGTGGGAGGGGTTAGTGGCCTGGAGCAGGGAGGCGGCTGCACCACGGAGAGAAACAGGCAGACTTGAAGGGTACTCCGGAGCCTCGAGGTGCCTGCACTTGGATGTGGATTGGGCTTGGGGGTGCGTGGGGGGATGTGCCTACTTTATGACAGGCACTGGCTTCAGATGGAGGAAGCGACCAGGGCCATCCCTGCTGTTCAGGAGCTTGAGGACGGTTGAGAGTGGGCAGGACACCGCTGGCTGACGCTCTTGAACTGTGTGCAGTGCTGGTGTGCGTTCACGCCCTCCCACTGCACACACCCGTCCCCACCCCTTAACTTGTCAAGGGAAAAGAGCAGCAGGAGAGGGAATCCCACCTCCAGCGGCCCCTCCGTGCAGAGACTGGGGAGGGCAGGGTCCAGGAGGAGCACTTGTCATCCTAGCTGGGGGTACTCGGGATTTGCTGAATTTAGGAAGCTTACAGGGAAAGTTCTGAGGGCTTCCAGGTTATAAATGGCCCCCTCCTCTCTGTTTTAAATTTCTGAACCTGAACCTGAGATCAGCCGTATTTCTCCTGGGAATAAAACCCAGAGTGCCTTTTGAACCCGGTCAGAGCCCCGCAGAGGCCACTCCTGGCCGCCGGGTGTGCTCGGACCACAGAGAGCCAGCCCTGCCCTCTGAATCAGGGGCCCAGGGCTCCCAGGAAGGGATGGGGCCCTGACCACCGCACCCAGCGCCGCCTCCTGTCTCCCTGTGAGCCGGGGAAAAGGCACTGTGTGTGTGCTTACCCTCTGATCAGCCTGGACCAGTTCCTGTGGCAGTGGGAGCACGGGCTGTCAGGGTCAGTGGCCTGGGTTGGGATCGCAGCTCGACGACTGGCCGACTGCTGTGGAAATTGGGCTGAGGTACTGTTTCCTCTGAACCTCAGTGTCGTCTTCAGAATGGAGAGGAAAAGGCACTGAATGTGAAGGCATGGCACATTGCGGCCCAGGAAGTGGGTTTCCATGTGGGCGTCCTGAGGAGTCGAATGGCCTCCCATGGGTCCCCATGCAGGGGGTCCCTCTGCGGGCCGTGGAGAGCCGGGCCTGAACGCAGGACCGAGCTCAAAGGCCGCTGCGCCCTGAGCCCGGATCCCTGGCCGCCAATCTCAGCTCGTCGTCTGCCGCCCCAGGACCTTGTTCACGACTTCTTTGTGTGAGACGTGTGGACCTGTCCCTGCTCACCCAGTGCGGCCTCAAGTACCCGCGGGGTAATGACGCGTGGGAAGGGCTCTCCAGATTGCATGGCGCCCTCCAGATCCCGCTCGCATCCTGAAGCCGGGGCGCTGCCGTGGGCGGCAGGGACAGTGGGGAGCAGTAGGTGACCAGAGGGCGGGCCAGGGTGCGCCTGGGAGGGAGGCAGAGAGTGAACCAGTGTGTGTGTGCTGCCTCCTGCCACCTAACACTACAATCTGCCTGCCTATTCTCACTGCCATCTGTCAGCAGCTCTGAGACCCGCTTTGTCCCGCTTGTGCCCCGCGTCAACATCTGGCTGGCGAGGTGCAGCGGGGAGGGAAATGTTTGGGGAGGGTGCTGGCTGCAGGGCATGGTGGTCCTTAAAAACAGCATTTGTACTTAGACTGTGCTTCTCATTTTTACATTTTAAAAATATGTATGGAGCCCCTCCTCTCCACTCAGAACTTGACGTGATATGATCTTGTTCAAACCTCCCTCAAAGCCCATGAAAGTAGGCATTTAGGCCCATTTTGAAGCTCACAGAGTGGATTAGGACTTTTTGGTGGCAAGGGATAGAAACCACAACTCAAACTTGGCTTGAGAATTAAAAGGGCGTTTGTTTATTGACCCAAGTGACTGAGCAGGCCAGAGGCAGGGCTGGTTCCGGGCAGAGCTGTGTTCAGGACTCGGATGATCGCCACAGGGGAACCTGCTCTCCTCGTAGGTTTCACTCCGATTTTCTTTCCACCAGATCCCCCCTCCTCCCCATGAAGAGCTGCCTCTCTCTCTCAGGGGACCCAGCAAGAGCCTGGATCCCAAGCCCGGCCCGACCCAGTCCCTGAGTGGCCAGTTCGCAAGGCTCTCATGGGTCACGCCTGGATCCTGAGCCCAGCCCTGCAGCTGGGGCTGCGTGAGGGCCGGGAAGCCCAAGGACTGAGAATGGGGACACTGCGGTCTTGCAGGAGGCTCATCAGGGTGCTGCTGGAGGACAGTGTTAGGAACAGTGGCCGTCCCCTAGAGACTACGGCTAGGTGGCCTGCCCACCCTCACACAGGGCACAGCCCAGACTCCAACCTCGGGCTGGCTGGTTTCAAAGGCCTTACTGCCCTCGCTACTCCAGGCAGCACAGCCCAGCAACACACGAGAGTCACCGTGGAAATGAGTTCAAACAACACCTGGGCCCCAGCCGGGGAATGAGACGCTTTAGGGCTGGGCGTGGGCATCAGGATTCCTCAGAAGCTGGCCAGGTGACGACACTGTGCAGCCACAGTCAAGAACCAGGATTAGGCTTACCCCTCCCTACCACACGCTGTAGGGCACTCGATGCTCCAAGTGGGGTCACTGTCACCAAAGAAGGGCTCAGAACTCAGACAATCTAGGTGAGTTTGCGGGATGATGAGCAGATCCTGGGAGACCTGGATGTGACCTTATGCAAACTGACCTTGTACAGTGTGGCCTTGAAGCTGACACAGGCTGGCTCAGGGTGGAAGGCGGAGCGGGCATGCTGGCTCCCCTCTCCCACCCCCGAGTGCCCCTTCCTGGGTCACGTCAGTTACTCCAGCAGTCGCCTAGCTGGCAACGCAGTTCAGGAGCGAGAGACACGGCGGCCCTGGGCCAGTGGTGCCCCTCCCTTCCCCTTGCTGGGGCAGCCCCGCCTGGACTGTGGGCTGGAAGCTGCTGGGCTTGCTACAAAACACCCAGCAGCCAGGCTGCTCCCCGGGCTCCAGGCCACCAGACTCAGCCTCTTCTTCTCAGAGGGAAACAATTCAGTGGAGCTCCTGAGGGCTAGGCTCCTCCCCCTGGAGTGAGACACAGGCAGTCTCAGCTACCTGTACACTGATCAAATGTTGACCCAGCTCTTACTCCTCTGGAAGCGCCTGGAACCATGGCTAGGGCAGAGAGGGAGCCAACATCCCTGCTTTATACGCCAGGCACTGTCTCTACAGCGGGCAGACCGGAGCTCCAGGACTCGCCCAAGGTCACATGGGAGCCAGCTCCTGGCGCTGAGTCCCGAGTCCTTAGCTGTCCCAAAGCCACGGTCCTGGTTCTTTGCCCAGTGTGACACCTGGTTCCTTAACATCCCGGAGATCTGCTCATTTCCCCCGCCCATGTCTGTTACTTAGGAACTGCATTTTGCCTCATTCACTATACATGATCACTTTTAGTCGCCCGCCAGTCTGTGACACGGTCCCAAAGCCAAGAGCCTCACACTCACACAAGCGCCCCTCTCAGAGCTTCCGCCCCACAGACCACTTCACCACTGCGCTCTGGTTTCAGCGAGATCCTTTATTACCTCCTGGTCCCCAACCACGGCCGTGAGCACAGGCAGCCGGGCCCTGCGCGGGCTGTGTGGACGCAGAGCAGTCGGTATATACAGGAGTCATGCACCCCAGGGGCTCCAACAAGACACTTCATGAGTAAAAAGACTTCAGGAGTGTTGGAAATTTCTGCTCTCTCCTGCATTCAAATCACTGAAAAACATCTGTGTAGAAATTTTACTCAAATGGAGACACGTTTTCTTTGTCCACTTGCTAGTAACTGCGGAGTGCATTTCAGATCGCGTTGACTTGTGACGGCCATTCCTCACCGAAGCTGCTGGTCCCTGTTCGGATATAAACACTGGACCGTACGTGTGACGAGCCGTAGATGCCATTCCACTCCGTGGCTTTACAAGCCTGACGCTGCCATCACACAGGACTCAGAAACGGCATCTCTAGCGTGGCTAGAGGCCACTCTTTCACACATGGTGGGTCCCCTGGGTCTGCAGCCTTCCCAGTGTCCTCACTGGTGTCCACACTAGCTGAGGTCGCTATCACTCGGTACTTGTGCAGTGACAGAGACACACGGCTGAGTCTTCCACGACCTCTGAGTCCAGGGTTGGAACATTTATGTACAGACAAATAAATGGAAAATCAGGGGCAACAGAACTCCAAAGCAAACGGACACTTTGGTCAGATGTACGATTCCAGTCTTGCCAGAGAAAGGCTTTCCCAGAGTATGAGGGCGGTCTTATCCCACCGCAGCTCCTATTAGCCGACCTGGTGGTCTTAACGTGCATCACTGTGGACTCAAAGCCGCTACAACAGGGACGGCTCCAGGCCCGGTGTGGGAGGAGGGCTTCTGTGGGCAGTGAGGTAAGCGGATCACACGCTCCACAGCTGCTCCCTGGGAGCCCCACCGTGGCTCTCGAGGACGCCAGCCTCTGTAGAAAAGCGATGTTTACAGAAGGCCTCTGGCCCCGCCCGCCAAACGCTCTTTGCCATGGGGACCTGACGGGTTGGAGTGAGGCGAGCGATGGGGACAGTGGCCTGAGGCTGTGCACCACCCTGACCGTGTCCACCCTGCCCGCGAAGCCAGCCGGGGGTGGGGCCCGCATCTCTCCCCTGCCCTGGGGTGGCTGAAGGCCCCGTGTGACTGTGACAGCAGCAGGGACCCAGTTCTCCAGCTCTCTGGTTGGCAATGTTTTGTTTTGTTTTGTTTTTGTTGTTTTCTTTTAAGATGACCACAGGAACTTTGACGTTGTTACATTCAGACAAATAGCCACTTGGTTACTCTATTTCAGAGCACTGAAAAACCAGGGAGCGACACAACATAGACACCAGGGGCTCCAGCCTCCGGTCACGGAGCAAAGTAATGCACTGTTAGGCAGAAGCAGATGATCGGAAGGAAAAACTGAAGGAAATACAGGCTGAGAATTTCCCATTTACAATGACCGAAGGAGAGAGGGGCCCAGCGCGATGTAAAAAGCCCACAGAAGCGCTCTCTGTGGGGGCCGCTCTCTGAGCGCGGCCTCGTTAAGCGGGCACGGCCAGGCCAGACTGGCCTGCCCAGGCTGACCCACAGCCACTCTCGCCGGCTCCAGCACGGGAATGTTTTCATCGTCCCGGTGCAAAGATGAAATCCAGGGCCTGCCGTTCGGCTGCTGCGACATTTGGATGCCACAAATCCACCATGAAAACCACCCGGGGGCCATCCTCCGCTGAACCTGGGGGGTGGGGTGAGAGAGGAGAGGTCACACCACCTGGAGCCAGGACCCATGAAGAGCTGGGCCTCACAGAGTCAGCTTTCGGGCAGGGACCCAGCCTGTCCCTAGGCACAGACCAGAGGACCTGCTCCTCCCTGGTCAAGAATGCAGTCGTGGCTCCCTAAGCTTCTGAGCCGCGTGGACACAAGGAAACGGGCAGAGGGAGGGAGGGGTGAGGAAGCGGTACGGGGGGCACAGAGGATTTCTAGGGTAGTGTAGATATTCCCTATGGTTGTCTCGGGGGATCCAGGCATTATACCTCTGTGGAAACCCACAGAACATACACCGCCGGGCATGAACCCCAGCGTAAACTAGAAACCTTAGTTAATAATCATGTGTCAATATTGGCCCATCAATTATAACAAACGCACCAGACTAATACAAGATGTTAATAAAAAGGGGAAACTATGTGGGGGTGGTGTGTATTTTCTCCTCAATTTTTCTGGAAACCTAAAAATGCTCTAAAAAGTAAAGTCTATAACAAAAAACAAAAGGTGGCAATGGGTGGGCAGACACTCACCTTCATGGAATGCAGTGTGCAGGAAAGAATCATCGAAGAGGAGGCAGCGGCCCTCGGCCCAGCACTGGGGCTCTCCCCCCACCACCAGCTCACAGCCGCTGGGAGTTTTCAGACCTGGGGGGAAGAGCAGAGAGAGGGGGATGAAGGCAGGCAGGGGCAGGGAGGGCCGGATGTCGAGGGCTGCTCTGGCCAGAGCTCTCGATGTGTGAAGCAGCCAACTATCCACTTCACCCCTCCGAGCCCCGTGTGGGGTTGGGGCGCTTCCATGGGGCAAATACAGGCTGCGCGCCCAGACCCTCGCCGTGCTCCTGGGAAAACCCTCTCCACCGGCTTGATCGGTTCTGGGCATGGACTCCTGTGACTGAAGCACAGACTAAGGCTTGCAGGACACTTTCGAGAAGCCCACCCCGGGACCTCCGGAAATGGAGGGAGGCCAGGTGCCCAACCCCACCTCGCCCAACGATTATGTTACTGTAGTCCCATCTCGAGGGCCGTTTCAGCTGAGATTCAAGACGTAGCAGCTCACACAGGGCCCTCTTTGGGTGCCAACCTCTGCATCTGTTTTGAGGCCTGAGGATGGCCTGTTCGGAATCTAAGTTTCCCAGCCTCATGCTGGAAACTGGAGGGCACCCCTCAGGAGATGCCGGAGCTGCGGGAGAAAACAGTCTGACACCTTCAGAGGAGCCACGCGCTCAAGAGGCGAGTGGTGGGCCCCAAGCTCCGGCATCCGACCCCAGAACGGGTCTGGAATAGCGCTGCTGCGTGTGCTTCCACACCCCATCTCCCATCCTGGGGTCTGAAGAACCCCCGGCCCCCTCACGACCGGACGTCCACCACAGCTGTCAAATGACATCAGAGGAGGCTGGGTCAGCCCCACAGCTCTCTGGAGGGACTGACCCGGGAGGAAGGGGGCCCTGGGAGAGGGTCTTGGATTGTGGTGTTCTTGCTCTTCAGTGACTCGCTGTGACAACCATGACCCCAGGCCAGTCAGCATGCACCCTGATTGAATGTCCCTTAGGACAAACATCAAACTTTCTCTCTAACAGCCAGAGTATTTTAACACACCCTTTGAACCAGAGATGGACAGCTCCAGGAAGTACAGATGGAACAAGAATTCAAACAGAGAGGCCACATGGAGAAGTGGGAAGGACAGAAGACTTGGGGTCAGACAACTGGTTCTGATGCTACGTGCTGTGTGACTTTGGGTAAGTCACTCAACCTCTCCAAGCCACAGCCTCCATGTCTGTAAAGGAGGGACATGAGCACACACAGCTTCCAGGGCCATGTGACCACCATCCCTGCTCCCAGTAAGTGAAGACTTACCGTGAGCAGGTTTGTGTTAAATAAACACTTTACAGACATCACTTCACCCACTTTCCAGATGGACCAACTGAGATTTAGAGAAGTGAAGTGACCTGCTGGAAGTCTTTAGTTTGTCCTTGCAGGAGCTGAGATCTGAATCCGAATCTCTCTGGCCCCAAAGAACAGGCTCTCCTAACACTGGACGGTACGATAGAAACGCTACTTATCGCATTAGCGGCAGTGGTATTAGCGTGACTGTTGATTTCCCCATAGCTAGTAAGTTTCAGTCATCAACAGGGCATTTCATTGAATCAGCTGAGACCATTCCCCAGCTGGGGACCACCACCTCCTGCCGTTGTGAGCAACTGCGGGGGGTTAGGATGTAGGGGCTTCAGCCTGCCGCTCACCGCCCAGGTGGGGAGGGCTCACAGGCCACATCTCCTCTTCATGGTGTCCTCACCGCCCAGGTGGGGAGGCCCCACAGGCCACATCTCCTCCTCATGGTGTCCTCACCGCCCAGGTGGGGAGGCCCACAGGCCACATCTCCTCCTCATGGTGTCCTCACTGCCCAGGTGGGGAGGCCCACAGGCCACATCTCCTCCTCATGGTGTCCTCACCGCCCAGGTGGGGAGGCCCACAGGCCACATCTCCTCTTCATGGTGTCCTCACGGGCTGGGGCAGGTGGAGAGGACCCACAGGAATGGGTGGTTCGCTGCAGGGACTACGCACCCCAGGGTTTCAGAGAGAAGCGCCCCTTCCCCAGGCCACCAAATGACTCACTGCCATGCGCCACGTGCGACAGAAAACTGGCCTGGCTGGCTGGCTGGCCAACCCCTGCTTACGCCCCTCCACCTCCCCCTGCATTCTGCTGTAGCCTTCCAGGGGCCCACTATCCTGCCTACTGCCCACGAACCAGCTTAGCTGGCAGAAATGATCAACATTCCCCCAAAAAGAGCATTTGGGTGGCTCCTGGGGTAGAGATGGTCCCCACACATGGCCTCGGCCCGTCCCAGATTCACAGGCCTGCTGCTGTGTCCTCGCCAACCACTGAAGGAGGTGGGAGGAGCGTGGAGAAGGGGCTGTGTCCCCCAGCTGCCCCCACCTCAGGAGGCTGCCAGCTGGCGCTCAGGGTGGGCAGGGCAGCGCGAGCGGATCCACGGGTACACCCAGCTGGACTGCCCAGAAATCCGACAGCATCCACAGGAAAGGAAAGAGGCCAACTGGGCTTATTCAGAGAGAATTCGCTAAAGATACTCATGCGTTTTCATGTCCCCTTTCCTGAAGGTCGGCATTTGTACAGGATCTGCCCCCAGTAACATCTGCCTGGTTGGTTCAGAGGTGGCTTCCTGGAGGTCTGTGGCAGCGCGGTAGGGCTGTCCCAGCCCCGCACATGATGCTGCTGATGGCTGGGCTGGAGCTGTCCTGAGCCTCTGCATGGAGCCCAGACAGGCATGCCACCTACGGGCAGCTCAGAGCAGGGCGCAGCGCATATGGACCACAGGCAGAGCAGCGGCTGGGGCTGCAGGGTCACGGGCGACAGTTCCACCAAGCACAGCTCAGACGGAGGCACAACAAGAAGACAAGGGCTGGCATTTCAAGAGCACAGTTCTGGAACTGCAGGTGCCTTACTCTTCAGCCAGGTAGCTGGTGGAGGCGTGGCCGCCAGGCACAAACCCGGCTTGCTCTGCTTCTGACCTCATTCTCTGAACTCCCTCTCTGTCAACACACAGGGACCTGTGAATCTAACACACCCTGCTTACTTTCTGGGTGGACACGCATGTGGCATGATAGCGGGAAGGCGGAAATGCTGAGCGAAGCCAACCATAGAGCTCGCCCGGCCCTGGGGACCAGCCAGGCTCAGTGCCACGTCTTCTAAGGTCGCCTGCTGTCCAGGGAACATGGAAGACCCAGCTTTTCCGGTGACAAGTAACCAGGCGGGCCAAGGAGGGAATGACAGGTCACAAGAGGGTCTGTGCGGGCTGACACACACACACACACACACACACACACGTGTCTAGCGCAGAGATGTACAACAGGCATTAAGCACACAGCAGGCAGACCTTGAGTTCTTGCCCCGAGCCCTTCCGACTCAGCACAGCTGCCTGCGCTTCTGCCCCTCGATCCTCAGACGCCGTGCCCTACACGGCATTCGGAAGCTTTTAAAAAACGTACAAGGAAAACCTTCAAAAAAGAACAGCACTGTCCTCCACTGCCCAGAGCCTCAATTCCGAGCCCAGCGTGGGCGCCCTCTGCGGTCTGCTCCCACCCGACCTGTCCAGCTGCAGTCCCCACCACTGGACCCCCTGCAAGCCCAGACAAGCGCCCCAGGGGGAGGCTCCCCTCTCGGCCGCACCCTGCCGGTCCCTGCAAGCCTCCAAGGTCAGACCCACCTCCGCAGAGCAGCCCGCCGGCAGCCCCGCGTCCAGTGATCCCAGAGTGCACCCGGGCGCCTTGCACAGTGGTCTATCACGCTCCTCACTGAGACGGCCACCTCCCCTCTGAGATTTCTAAGAGCCCCTTGGCTGACTCCGTCTCCCTGCAAGTACTTTGCACAGTCCTCCTAATCCTGCAGACAGGCCTCCAGGTGGGCATCCTGGCCCCCACTTTAGAGAGGACACCAAGGCTCGAAGCCTCTGAGGGCGTGCCCAAGGTCACTGAGAGAATGGGCCCACAGGTCTGAGTCCAGGAGTGTTTGCTCCGAAGCCTGTTCATTTCCCACTCTGTCTCCTGAGGGCAGAGACCATGTCTTATGGGTCACTTTTCACACTGTCCAATGCAGTGTCTGATCACAGAAGCTCCTGGCTGCCATGCATCGATGCCATCGGGTGCCAGGCACCGTGTCAGGTAGCCATGCAAGATAGTACTTTAATCTTCTCAACGATCCTGTGAGGGAAGTCCTATCTCCCCATTGTACAGATGAGGAAACTGAGGCACAAAGAGACTGGTTAATTACTCAAAGTCACAGGGCTGACCAGGAAGCCAGGCTCCTCCTCCAGGGCCTCAGCCCTGTCCTGCCTTTACTCTCAAAATACTCCCGGGGTCAACTACTCAAGTCTAGTTCCTTCTGTTTTGAAAGCAGTGAAGCCCTCTCCAAGCCACGTCTTCCTCAGACTCCCCAGAGAGCGCGGGAGCAGCAGAGGGCTCGGGGTCGAGAGGGGTGGAGGCCTGGGGTGTCCAGCCCAGCCCCCCAGGCAGCCCCAGGCTCCTGTGCGAAGCTAACAGAGAAGCCGGGCTCCAGCCCACAGGGGGCTCCTCCGCGTGCTCCTCCCTCCTCCAGCCCGAGGCTTCTGCCGCCGCTTGCATGCTCCTCTAATCCGGGAGCCAACTGGTGATGCTGTCGCCCCGGTAACCAGCTTGTGAGCACAACTCACCAGGAACGAGGCATTCTGGGAACAAACATCCCCATGACCGACTTGTTTTTAAGCCTACCTTTGTTGAGTCCTGACTATCAGGCTCTGGATGAACAAACGCTTACAACACACATTCTCTTACCAGATCGCCAAACAACTCTGTAAAAGATGAGCTTTGTACCCCCACTTTCCAAATGAGGAAATGGAGGCCCAGAGAGGTGAGGTGACTTGCCCAAAGTAACAGAGCTAGCTTCTAGCTTGTGGTGGGGCCAGGATGCAAACACAGGCAATCTGACCCTGTTCTCAAAACCAGTGCTACATACAACACACGTAACTTCCCAAGAATCTGAATAAAACCAACGTAACACCAAGCATCATTTCATCCTCGGTGATTCAGAAGGCACGTAGGTGTCCTTCACAGCCTCCCGGATGTCATTACGAATGTCGGTAATCATTCTAATAGTCTTTGGCTCTAGAGCTGTGCTGTCCAGGACAGCAGCCACTGGCCCTCGGTGGCAATTTAAATTTAGATTAAATTAAACATGGAGCCCCTTGGCTGCACTAGGCACATCTCAAGCCTTCCAAAGTTACCGGTGGCTGGTGGCTACCACAGTGGGCAGTGCAGATGGAGACCATGCCCACCACTGCAGAAAGCGCCTTTGGACAGAGCTTCTGCCAGAAATTAGGTTTATACTGATCACAAATTGCCTTTTTTTTTTTTTTTTTTAGGGAGACTGGCCTTGAGCTAACATCTGTTGTCAATCTTCCTCTTTTTGATTGAGGAAGTTTGCCCCTGAGCTAACACCCATGCCCATCTTGCTCTATTTTGTATGTGGGATGCTGCCACAGCATGGCTTGATGAGTGTGTGTAGGTTCGTGCCTGGGATCCAAACTGGCAAACCCTGGGCCACCAAAGCGGAGCACATGAACTCAACCACCACGCCACTGGGCTGGCCCCTCAAGTTTCTTATTTTTTTTTTTAATTTTCTTTCTAAAAATGACCTTATTTTTATTTATTTTTTTGAGGAAGATTAGCCCTGAGCTAACATCTGCCATCAATCCTCCTCTTTTTGCTGAGGAAGACTGGCCCTGAGCTAACATCCGTGCCCATCTTCCTCTACTTTATATGTGGGACGCCCACCACAGCATGGTGTGCCAAGCGGTACCATGTCCGCATCCGGGATCCGAACTGGCAAACCCTGGACCGCTGAAGTGGAACATGCGAACTTAACTGCTGTGCCACTGGGCTGGTGCCTCAAGTTTCTTTTTTGACTCAATCTCTGCTGTCAAAATTATTTACATGCGACTCATCAATTTTTGACAGAAGTACAGAGAAGAATGTGAAAAAGCACAATTCTGGCTCCTGAGCTTTGTGACGTCTGGGTTCCCAGAAGTCACACAGACTGTACCAAGACCGGCGCGTGCCAGGAGACCCGTCCCCACAACGTACCTAAATGGCATCGGATGCGGATGTTGGTGGGTCCATAGTGCTCTGTGATCACAGTCCCAGGGCTCAGCACGGAGATGCACGCGTTCCCAAAAACATTGTTCCCAATACAGGTCCGAAGGCTTCCGAGCAAGCGGTACGTCCGTGGGCACTTCCTGCAGTTCCTGGGGACGCAAACCCCCTGATTGACCAAGTAAAAGGTGACCCACTCCCCGCTTGGGGTGCTGTTCATTTTCCAGCCCTGCGGGAGGCTGCAGTTTGAGAACGCTTTGTAGAGGGTCTCAAACTCGCACAGGATCGTCTGGAAGTTCCGTTCCAGCAGCTCCACGTCGTGCTTCTGTGCGTCCCGGGAGAAGTAGGGCGTGGTGGGCAGGTCGGGCAGGAAGAAGACCTCGGGCTTCTGGATGGAGGGCCGGCTGTTGAGGTAGCGGCCCTGCTCGCGGATGCCCTTGTGGATGCGGCCCATGCCTGACCAGGAGTAGCGCTTGGCATACTCCTGCAGGTTGTGGTAGAGTTTCTGGTTGAGGCCCTCGTTGTGGGTGCAGCGCACGCACTCGGGGGACTGGCAGTACACATACCCGTTCTGCAGCCCGTTGGCATCCGGGCTCTGCATGAGCGGGTTGACGGCGGCATAGGGCCGGGGCTGCTCCCTGCCCACGTGGTAACAGTACCACACGAACAGGACCAGCAGGCAGGCCACGGTGACCACGGCAGTGGTGTCGCAGTCCCGCACGGACTGGATGCCCGTGGCGATGCAGTCCCTCAGGCCATCCAGCGACCAGCTCCAGGCCACCAGCCACTCGAGAGACATCTTGGAGGAGTTGACGTTGGGGGTGTGAAGCAAGATCAGACAGTCAGTCCTCTGGGGTCCCAAGGGCACCCACACCATGCAGGTTAGCACGGGGGCGCAGGGGGAGGCATGGCTGCCACTGTCCCTTGGGTGCTGCCAAGGGCGGCATTGATGAACGTCTGTGCCCGCCACTCCACTCTCGGCCAAAGTCACTGTGAGCAGGGTGGGAGGAGCTGTTTATGTCACGTTAGAAGTGGGGTTGGTTACTGTGAAAGGATTTTTTAGGCAGTCCAAACCTGGGATGAAAAAAAATAAACCAGCATAAGTTTTTACACCTGGAAAAGTCCTCAACTGAAATGTCAAGTCTCAGACCATTCTGTGAGGTCCTTGTCGGTAGGGGCCACACTCCTCAATCTCGTGTATTCTCTCCCCATTTGACCACCACCGCCATTTCCCAAAAGGCCAGTCGTGTTTAATCCGCATCAAGTACTGTCTGACCATCACGGTAGCCCCATCTATTCTGTGGCCTCCTCAGGAGGTGCTATGAGCCCCATCTTACGGATGAGGAAACTGAGGCTCGGAGAGGTCATATAACTCACCCAAGTTCACGCAGCCAGGGCAGGGACACAAGCCCCGTCTGACTTCAAAGCCAGTGTCTGTTCATTTCGCTCTACCCTTTCACAGTAGATATTTAATAAATGCTTCTTCTCCTTAAATCTCTGAACCTTTAAGGGAAATGTGGATTCCATAGCCTCTTAAAAATGGCAAGAGAACTTTAAAACTGCACGTTTTCCATCTGATTTTCTCTTTTCAGGGCACTTCATCACTGTTCTTTAATCTCCCCGGCCCTGTGACACCGGCTGGGCTTAAATCAAGCTGGAAGAGGAAGTGGCTCTCGGGTCACATCCGAGGCAGACACAGGGCACTTTCTGTCTACTGGCTGGGGAGACTACCTCCTGGCCTCACCCATGGGGTTACGCAAACAAAACGAGGGGACAGAATGGGAAGAGAAGCCCTTCCGGGTCTCTGCCTCCAAACACACAGAAGAGCTTTGCCACGTCTCTGGGGAAGGCTGGCCCAGGGTCTAGTACCCCGATTAGCCTAATAACCACAAGTGCGCTCAGAGCCCAGCTGTCATGCCACCTGTGTCTATGAAACCTGGCCGCGTCTCCTGGCGGAAATCCTTTGTCCATCCTGCTTTTTCTAATCTGAGAACAGCCAGGTCTAGGTTCTGCTACAAGTCCGACACATTCCCTCATCTCGAGGAGCAGAAGAACTCAGAAAATTTGTTTTGTACTCTCGCCTCCTCCTCTCTCTCAGGAATATGAGAAGGCAACTGAAAAAATGGGAAGGCTGTCCCCTCCCCTTTGTCCAGGGACTAAATTTGGCCTGAAAATTCTTGCAGTGTAGCAGAGAGGTGAAGAACCCAAATCAAGAGTGGGCCGGACTGAGTATTAATCCCAACCGCAGGCAGGTCACTTCTCCTCTCTAAGCCTCAGTTTCCTCATCTAGAAGATGGGGTGATGCTCATCTCAGTGGATGAGAGTAGACGACGACAGCCATAAAGCACTTATGATCATGTCATGGCAGCACTCCACATGTGCCGGCATCTGCTATGGCATGTGCCACCCCATCTCGATTTGCCAGCAAACCAAAGGTGGGGCCCTGGGCAAAGGATTTCAGGACTGAGAATTCCAACAGCTAAAGGTAAATCCTGGACGCTCTCGTGGCCACACATCTCCAGTGGTTTTTTTGTCCCCAGACTCGCAGTGTTAAAAACAAAAAGGAAACCTTAGGTGCTCATTAACTGCCTACTTGCATCTTCCCAGCTTAGCTGAATAAAGAATTACTTGACGATAACGTTTAGTAAGTTGAAAGCACACATGCTGAATATTCATGGCCTTTTTTATGTTTCTAGGAAAAATACAAGAGTGGGGAGGTTAGAAGCTAAATTTTTTCTCACACGTTCTCCATCTCTTCACAGATTTGGGAGAAGAGGGAAAGGCTGGGACCTACTGGATGGAAACAGTGGTTTCCTCCACGCTCCTCGTTCTCGACTAGTCCTACCACCACTGGCAGCTGTTCCCTCTGGAGGAAAAGGGAAAGGAAATCCGGATGAAAGGTGTTTTGTTTGCAAGCCACCTCGCAGACAGAACCCCAGGATTCCCAAAATTCAGTGTGAGGCCATCATCTGTGTGACAACAAGCACTTTCCTAAAAGGATTTCCCCCATCGCTGAGCAAAGCTGCTAACTGGAACTCTGAAACTCAGTCTCCCCAGAGGAGAGGTTTTTCTTAAATGTTCTAAGAGTGAGACGTGACAACTGAACAAACACCTGTTAAGTGATAGCTCCCATCAGCCCTGCTAATCATTAAAGTTTAAGTCAATCAAAACGAAAGCACGGAAGACAGAGTAGAGGATGAGGGAATGGCTCCACTGGACACCCTCCTCGCCTGCCCCCTCCTGGGGGAGCCTCATTCTGTACAGCGCCAGCCAGGAGTGCTCCCGGGCTGAGCTATAAACAAAAGGCAGCAGGAGAGTCTGATGCCCTGAACCCCAGCTTCGAACCCTGTTCACAAGATGATAAACGGCACCGAGAGTCAAAGTTGGACGTTGCATACCTGTCAGATACTTTTAGCCAAAACATGCTGGCAGGTCCCTGAGCCCATAGGATTAACACTCTCACAGCTGAAATGTGACGCTAAAAGAAACCCTCACATTTGTCTGGTGACTGACAGTTCATGAAGTACTGGTCAAACATTTGACACATAGCACCCAGGGACAACTCCCCAGTCCCGCAGTGGGGAGGACATGGATTCCCCCACCCCCACCAGCTCCTGTCCCAGTGGCCACAGTAACTTCCAGCTTCCTTCACACCTCTGTTCATTTTCATCTGTTTCATTTCTGCCCTCATCTCATGGCAGTTCTGCACTCAAACAACATGCAACTCCAGATCTTAAAGGTCAGCTGGCTCTGGGGAATAGGGTTCAAATTCATGGCCAATGGGTGAGCAAGTCCAGTCAAACAGAACTTCCGATACAGTGAAAAGACTCAGCTCTAACGTGGCTAATCCAGTCCAAGAGGCTGCCCAGTGCTAAAGAGCTCCTGGTCACCCTCGGGGTGGCGCCAGGCGACCCTAGAAGCCCCCCAGGGAGCAGGGCAGCGCTGGGCAAGGTGTGTGAGGGATGTAACCCACTCCCCGGGGAGCCAGAGCTGCCCTGGGGCCAGCCCTCCCCCGTGCGAACTGGAGACCTTTCCTCCCCACTTTCTCGGCCAGCTTTTTCAGCATCCACCCACTCTGGAGAGTGGGGGAAAAGGGGAGGGCAGAGGATGGGTTAACACAGATGGTGACCACCAGGAAGTCAGGGGAGGAGGGGGATGGGACGATGGAAAGGTAAATATTGACAGGAAAACTGGGAGACAGGCTAACGATTAGGGAAGGAGGCTGAGGGTGATAACTCATGGGACAGGGGAGGAGGGTCAGCACGGGAAATATGGGGAGTGGGCGATGCTCAGGGCTGGGGGGGAGGGGAAAGCAAGCAAAGAAAGGGACCAAGGAGGAGGGTCACGGGGGAGGAGAGTGTTGGGGGGGATAACCCAGAGGAGGGGATCGCGATGGGTATGGGGGCGGAGGAGGGTGATGCCCGGCCGGGGCGGCGAACACAGCTTAGGCGGCGGCGCTCAGCACGTAGCGAGCGCAGGCGGCGGGGCCCCTCGGCCGGGCCAGGATGCGGGGCGCAGGCGGGCGCCGGCGTCCGGGAGCATCCTCGGCGGCCGCACCGCCCGGCGTGGGGATCGCGGGCCTGCAGCCGCTCGGCCCCCGCCTCCTCCTCCCCCTCCCGCGGGCTCGGCCCCGCCGCGCCGCCCTCCCGCCCCGCAGCCCCCGGAGATGCCGCTTACCTGCGCCCTGGCGCGCGGGCGGAGGGGGCGGCCGCTGGGGCCCGGGCGACGCCGCCGCCCGAGGGCGCGGACGCGCGGACGCCCCCTGCCCGCGCCGCGGAGCCCCGCGCGGCCGCTGCCCGGCCCACGCCGGCGGAGCCGAGCCGGAGCCGAGCCGGTGCCCCCGCCAGCTCCAACGCCGCGCTGCGCTCCGCGGGGCCGCGGGGACCACAACTCCCACAATGCCGCGCGCGGCCGGCCGGCGGGGGGCGGGGCGGGGCGGCCTGCGGGGCGGGGCAAGGACCCCCGACGCCTGGTCGCTCTCGCCGCGCGCGGGGAGCCGAGGCTGGTGCTCCCGGGAGCGGCGTGCCCGGGGCCGCAGGGTGCACCGCCGCCCAGTCCGAGGGTGCGCGCAGGCGGCGGGTGGGCGGTTCCCGGGCCCAGCGGGCGTTAATTCATCCGCCTGTCGTCCCCCTCGGGGCCGCGCGGTGCCCTCCCGTGGCCTCTCCGTCCTTCTGTTTCTGCTCCGTCCCTCTCGGAGGCTCGCCCCTGCGTCTCCTCCTTACTCTTCTTTCACTTTCCCTCCCTCCCTCCCTCTCGCCTTGACTCCCCTCTTTCCTTTACTGATTGATTCCACGCACACTTCTCAGGCCGCTAGGGCGCTTGGAATGCCACTGCCAGTCTAACAGGTCCCTGGGTCTCATGGCAAATGCAGTCGTTAGTACCATAAGTCTTGGGCCGCCCGCGTGTGCCCGGCCCTGTGCGCTGTGCTGAGCGGCCCCATGCGCAGGGAGGTACAGGTGATCGCAGGTGGCAATCCACAGTCACCTGCCGGGCAGAGGACCAGCCAGGCTGAGCGTGAGTCACAGGGCCTGGGGAGCGGCTGCAGGCCCAGGAGGCCTCTGGGAGGGTGATGGCTGAGCCAAAGCCTGGGGGAGGCAAATGAGCTCACAGAGGCCACGGGACGTGTGAGGGCTCCAGGGGAAGGATGCTGCCACAGGTCCTGGGAACAAGAGCAGACGCCGGCCCCCAGTCCATCTGTTCTGTCCCACAATCCACCTGTTGCTGTCCCAGAATCCACCTTGTCTCTGTCCCATAACCCACCTGGTCACTGTCACAGAACCCAGCTCTACCGTGTCCCAGAATCCACCTCACCCCGTTCTAGAATCCACCCCTACCATATTCCCTAATCCACTTTGTCCCTTCCCCAGAACTCCGTGTCCCACAATGTATTTCTCACTCCTGTCCCAGAATCCACCTCTCACCCGTGTCTCAGAACCTACCTGGTCCCAGACCTAAGAACCCACCTCTACCGTGTCCCAGAATCCACCTGGTCCCTGTCCCAGAACCCACCTCTACCGTGTCCCAGAATCCACCTGGTCCCTGTCCCAGAACCCACCTCTACCGTGTCCCAGAATCCACCTGTTGCCTTTTCCAGAACCCACCTCTGCCGTGACCCAGAATCCACCTGGTCCCACTCCCGGAACCCACCTCTACCATGTCCCAGAATCCACCTGTTCCCTGTCCCAGAACTCACCTCTGCTGTGTCCCAGAATCCACCTGGTCCCTGTCCCAGAACCTTGTTGTGGTTCAGAATCCACGCCTATTGTGGCCCAGGATCCTTCTCTACCGTGTCTTAGAATCCACTTCATCCCTGTCTTCTCTCCGCCTTCCTCAACTCCAAACTTTTCTCAACTTTCACAGGAGGAAGAACATTGTTTTCTGTTTTATTCTACTAAAATAAACCAAAATGCCTACACTGGGAAATGATAAAATGCACCCAGATTTGCCCAAAGTGTGGGTAAAATGGACGCAGGCATCAGATTTGGAAACACTAAACAAGATGTCTCCGTTGGCTGCCAGCCTCAGGGGTGGGGCCGGGGCAGGGTGGGGAAGGTGGGAGGTCACGTGCTCCATCTCCTGTTCAGACAGTCGCTCAAGTTTGGACCTCTCCAAAGCGGCTTTGACTTTCAGTCACAGCATCGCACTGACAGAGTCGGAAAAGAGAACATTCTTCGTACAGCTGCAAATGTGAAATGTGTGTTCCATTCCCGGACCACGCCATCTGTGGCACCTTATGAACTAATATTCTCTATAAATCCTGTAATTATCCTTGACCAGTGTAATTAGATTGCTCTGTAGTTGTTAGGAGTATTTATCTGCTCAATGGCAATATTACCATACATGCATTTTGCTAACATTGCTTGCTTGCCATTTTTCCCTAGGGAGACCCTCAGAGGTGAGTTCCCCGGGAAAAGGGTATCCAGGCCTTCCAGAGAGGATTTTTGGGTGAGAGCTCAGATAAATTGTTGCTGCGCTAATGGAGCAGCTGAGATAAGGGCCAAGTACATCTAAATTGCCTGTCTTCAGCTTGGCTGCCACCCGCGTCCTCCTCCTCCGACTGTCTGCTCTAGGGCAGCCGCTCCCGACTCACTCTGAGGCTGCACAGCCTATCATTATGCCATCTCATACACTGTGGGTCCACCCCGCTCCCTCCTCCTGCAGATGGAGTCGCTGGGAGTCCAGAGAGGAAAGATGCCCTGCTCAGTCAAGGTCGTAGCAAGTCAGAAGAGGAATGTGTAGACCTTGGCGAATATGCTTGACTGGTACATTAAAGGCTGGTGTAGTCACTTGGGAGAGAAATTTGGTAGTATTTGTTAAAACAACAACAACAAATGTGTATTTCTGCCTAGAATTTCTCTAGGGTAGGTATAGTTATGGTTTAAGATTATATAATATTGTGCAGCAGCTATTAAAAAGGAGAAGCTAGATGTATATGTAACAATATGGATAAAGCTCCTGGACAAACAATAGAATAAAAAAAAAAGCAGAATTATGCTTGCAGTATGATTTCCTCTATATGACACATTTGCAACACAAAACGTTACTCTGTGATTTTTGTGGATATATACATGTATTTATATAAAAGCAAGAGGAAAGCACTGGAAGAATGCACTAGTGTGTTCTCCTTTTTAAGACTTAAAATATTACAGTGTTTGTAAATGCAAAGAATATTTCTCAGAGGAAGCACGCCAAATTCATGAGTTTTTACTTCCGGGGAGGTCAAGAAGGAATGAGAATTGGGCACAGTGGACAAGAGGAATGCCGGCAATTTCCTGTAATGTTTTAATTTGATTTAATATTTTCAAAAGGATTGAAATTCTCCTGGAACAAAAGGCAAAAAGGATAAATGAGTTACTAGGAATACCTCTCTCCCTATCCCTCAACCACTGGTTCCCTTTTCTTGAGACAGTCATTATAATCAATTTCCTATGCATCTTTCTAGGAAAATGCTATGCATTTGCAAATATACAGAAGTATTTTAACTTTTAAGAAGAAAATACTGGTATGTTATTAATGGTATTAAAAATGGATTTTTAAAATAAAATTTAAAATTACATTAAAAATTATGTTTCAAGAATGAAGCATTGTTCAACACCAGAAACTCTTTTGATAGAATTCATCATATGAACAAATTAAAAGAAAAGAACTACACAATCATCTCAATAGATGCAGAAAAAGCATTTGACAAAATTCAGTGTGCATTCACGATTAAAAATTCCCACCAAAGTAGGAATAGAAGGGAGCTATGTGAATCTGATAGAGAGGACTCTATCAAGACTACAACCATCACTGGGACCCTCAGTTTGAAATTCATACTCGATGGTTAGAGATTGAATGCTTTCTCTCAAAGATTGGGACTCTCACCATTCCTATCTAACATTGTTCTGGACCTTCTGACCAGAGCAATAAGGCAAGAAAAAGAAATAAGAGGCCTTTAGAAGAGTAATAGGAAAAACTATGCAGAGTAGCAACAAAAGTGTAAAGAACTCTGGAGTGAATTTAACTAAAATGGGAAAGATGAAAAAAAGTGAAATAAAAATATTGAAGAGCACAGAATAAACTGTGACTAATGAAAATGTATGCAAAATTCATGGATATGAAGAGAGAACACCATAAAAATGTCAGTTCCCCAAATGATCTATAAAAATACAAATCACTTTTTACGAAAATCCCAATGTTTTTGGTGCAAGAGGATAAATTGATTATGAAATCTATATAGAAAAGTAGAGAGCCAAGAAAGCTAAAGACAAAATGAAACTACCTAATAAAAAATGAGCAAAGGTTACAAGCAGGAAATTTACACAAGAAACACGATGGCCAATAAACACGTGGGAAGGAGCCGTGCCACACTGCTCGTCATGGAAATAGAGATTAAAACCACAATGAGATGTCATTTTGCATTCATCGTGTCAGCAAAAATTATAAAGCCAGTTGATGCCAAGTGTTGATGAGGCTTGCAACAACAGGTGCTCTCATGCACTGCTGGTGGAGTGTAAATTCGCACAACCACTCTGGCCATCTTCAGGAAGTTGTTGGTGTGCACGCCCCCCAATCCTGCCATTCCACTTCCTGCCACGTGCTCTAGAGCATTGAATTTCAAACTGGGGGTCCCAGTGATGGGTGCAGAATTGATAGAGTGAGTCATGACCCCGATTTAAAACAACGAAATAAAATAAATGACAATAGAAATTACGAGAGTGTTTCTGAAAGTGTCATAGAGATTGTTCTGTGAAATTTTTATTTTGCCTAGTGTGTGTTTTAGTGTGTGCGCATGTGTGCACACGTGTCTGTAGGTGCGTGTGTATGTGTGGCACTGGGTGCCAGTGTAAA